CCACCCCCACACATGCACACTCACACACACCCCCACCCCCATACGCACACCCCCACCCCCACACATGCACACTCATACACACACCCACACCCCCACACATGCACACTCATACACACACCCCCACCCATGCACACTCACACACACCCCCACACCCCCACACATGCACACTCACACACCCCCCCACACCCCCACACATGCACACTCATACACACACCCCCACACACTCATACACACACACATGCAGTGGTACATGTTTTATTCACTTGCTTTTGCAAAGTACACACATCCAGATAGAAAGAGATAAACTTGCCTCTGCTGGATTAATTCCAGAAATCATTGCAGTGGCGCAGGGCTGGTCCCCAGCCTGGAGCCCAGAGCTAATGCGGGAGCCTCCCAGGCTCTGCATTGTCTGGAGTCACTGTGCTGTGCTGGAGCTGGATTAGGTTATGGGGCAGTAGTTCTGGTGGATTCTGCAGGTGTGTGATGGTTCAGGTGTTCTGGCGCCTCTAGCTTTGCCCTTCAAGCACCTTCAAGCATGTGTGAGACCTTTGTACTTACTTCCTTTACTTTGAAAATGTTTTATCTTTTTCATTTTCTGCTTTTTGTCTTTATTTTCTGTAGATTTGTACAGTTTTGTGCCTTTTAGTCCCATCTTTGTTTCTGTGGTGATCTTTTTCTCTTGTCTCTAATTTTCTAATAGTTCATTTCTTTTTTTTTCCCACACCCCCTAGTAGTTCGATTCTAATTTTTCTAAATCATTTTTGTTTCCTGAGTGAATTTGAAGCTTGTTTTGAAATTCTAGGTTAGTTTTCATGTTTTCCGGGCATCTCCGTCTGCCGTGCTGTCTGTCCCTGCTTTTCCTGTTGTCTCTTGGTGTCGTGTCTGACCTCGCTTGCTTCGTCCTACCCACCTGCAGTACAGAAGCACAGACCAAGCATAGAGTTTTAGCTTCACAGCTCTACAAGGTGTTTCTTAAAGCTTGAATGTACTGCTTCTAAACAGTACAGTTCGCACATTCTGAGTTCATTCAGTTTGCAATGTGACAGTTCTGTCTGATTGTGTCTCCAGCACGCAGTCACGGTGGGGGCAGTTCTTTGCCTGCAGTAAACTTGTTGTACCTTAGGAGTTTTTCCCCCTCCCCCCCCCGCCATTGTTCCCAGGTAAGTGTGAATTTTCCTTTATTTTTTCTTTTAAGTAAGTTTTGCTTACTTAATTCCACATGAATGGGGTCTTACAGTATACAGACATTTCAGTGTGATTGTTTTCAATTAGTGTAATGGTTTTGTAGTTTATGCACCATGCTTCATATAGTCCAAACTTCAGAAACATGACAGTGTCTCCTGGTTCTGTTCTGGTTCCTTATTTGTTTACTTTCACTCCTGTTTTCCCTGACCTGCTCCTTGTGGCCTCTCTTCACGGGAGTTTCTCCCCAGTGTGGGATTTTGTCTTGTGCACTGTGCTTGGAGGTTGTAGGGCCTGGAGTTCTTGGATCCCTTCAGACCTTACTGCGGCTTGCGTACACACCCACCTCTGTTTCAGCCACTCAGAGTATGTGCCACCTTTGCAGGGAGCACAGTGGTTACCGGATGCCCTGTTGCTTGCATTGGCTTCTTCCCTGTGAACACCAGCAGCACTCACTGGTTGGATGCTTGTCTGTGATTAATCCCACCGACTAACTTTCAGAGCCTCTTAAGTGTATCTTAAGATGTAGTTGTGTTGTACCTATGGTCTGTGGATTTGGGTTTGGCTCTTTATTAATGTTTTTGTGGGAGAATGTGAGGAGATTGAAAAAAAAGTGTTGGGAATTTGAAGAAATTGGGAACTAACAGTCGTTTTTATTGAAATAATTTGTAACTCATTATTGGGTTTGTAAATGATGCATTTGTTTCTTCTTGCTTATGTTTGTGGTGGAGGGCAGCTCCTGTGTGTCACAGCCTTGGTGTCTCTCCTGCTGTCTGTTGTCCTGTCTCTGGCTCTTGTCTTAGTTGTACACAAAGAGTGGGAGCTGGGTTGATGTGTGTTGGGCACCTGTGAGAATTTTGTGCATGTTTTTATTCACTTGCTTTTGCAAAGTACAAGCAATTATGAATAATCATTTTTCCAGACAAAAGTCCTTTTTTTTCAGGACCCATTTCATTGCTTTTTAAAATTTTTTTTTGAATTTTTATGGTAACATTCCATAGGGTTTGGGATTTGCCCCACCCCCCAGTTTGCCCCATGGGTGTTGAATCTTCCATCAGAGTGCAGAGTCTCCTTGTAGAGTAAAGAATTAGGTGGGCTCTGGGTGATATCAGGGCCTCTTCAGTTTGGTGTAGTGACCGAAGGGACTTGGGGAACTTTCTAGATCTTCAGGAATTCATGATGCAGCTGGTTGTACATGTCCTCTCTGCATTCTTAGCACAGTCAGTGTTCTCATGTTGGAATACATCAGAGAAAGCTTCCAGAGCCACTGTCTTTGCTCTTTTGTCACATTCTGGTTTCCTGGGCGCGTTCGCGGTGGGGCTCACGGGTGTTATACGTGATGCTTGGCTGCACTCTTAGCAGTTCTGTTTCTCGGGAAGATGACAGAAGAGAGAAATGTTATGAGCCTGGGAGAAAATAAAACACAAGCAGTCAAATACATGCTTTTAAGCTACACAGAGCATCCTGACAAGTGTGCTGAATCACAGGAGTGTAAGAATCATTCAGAAAGCGGGGATAACGGGAGAGAGTGTGAAAGAAACTGTCATCATCACAGCACGTGTGAAGACAGCATTACCTAAGAATCAGGATTTTTTTCTTTTTGAAGAGTTATTTATTTTTACCAGAAAGGCAGATTTACAGAGAGTAGGAGAGGTGAAGAGACAAATCTTCCATCCCTTGGTTCACTCCCCAAATGACCGCAACAGCCAGAGCTGAACTGCTCTGAAGCCAGGAGTCAGGTGCTTGGAGCCTCTTCCAGATTTCCCATGTGGCTGTAGGGTCCTAAGGTTTTATACCACCCTCCACTGCTTTCCCGGGTCTTAGCAGGGAGCTGGATGGGAAGTGGAGCAGACAGGACATGAGCCAACACCCCTCTGGGATAACAGCATGTGCAGGCGGAGGATTAGCTTCTTGGGCCATCATCCTGGCCGCCCGTGCAGGAATTCCTCATGCTCAGCAGCTGCGTGCTGAGATGTCAGCTTTGAGCAAAACGTGCAAAGCATTTCAGTTAGAGTCATTCCCATCCATTTTAGTTTCTGCTTTTATTGCAGAATTTGAGGAGACTGAAAAAATTGTATGGTTTTGAATGTAATAAAACAAAAACCTGGAAATAACTTTTTATTGTGTGAAGAAAAATGGGGAAAATGGTACTTACTGAAGTTATGAAACAGTGCATTACTTTTGCTTATTCACGGCAAATAAAAGGAGACCTTTGTATGACACAGTCCTGAAGGCTCTAGATGCCCAAATAAGATAGGGAGAAAAAAAAGTGAAGCGAACAAAAGGGAGAGTTACAGGAGAGAGGAAGAGAGAGGTGAAACAGTCTGCTTTGTTTTGTAGAATGATGCTAGCACATACTTGGACAATCTGAAGAAGTGTATTAAGGGGTGTTTAGCATAATCTCCACTGGTGAAACCAGACAGGATCATGTACATGGATGATAACTCTTTAGCAAATGTAATAAACAAAGCTTCCCTTCACAGTGGTGTGAATCTGTAATGTACCTAGGAGATAGCACAACAAAAGATACATAAAAGGTGCCTGGAGAGAGCTCCAGGCAATTATTGTTGGATGAGAAAGATCATAAACAGTAGGATATCTCAGTTTGTTAGTACTTCATTTTAACAGTGCAATAGCTCAACTTTTCTTTTTTTTTCCTGGTATAGGGGGCCCACTCCTTTAGTGACTAATGTTTTGTTTTGTGGGCCCTAATAGCTCAACTTTGTTATAATATCCTTTTCTCTCTAAATTAATTCATTACACACCCGAGTGAAATCCTAATAAACTTCTTATGACATCGGATGAGGTGAACCTGAATTTCATCGTGAGTGCCAGAAGTCCAGGAGTAGCCAAGACATGTTGCAGAGCCAGGTGGGGCCTTACTCCCTGGACATTGATGCCAAGCCCTGGCACTTGAAACCCTGTGGTGTTCCTGTGGAGTTGGAACGGAATGGGACTCAAGAATGTTGGCAGGTGTAGTCAGCAAGGAAGGATGGGATGGTCTATAAATGGATCTTGTTAATCATTAACTAATGATTATATGGAAAATCAAATTGAGTCTCTAACTTTACTCACACACAAAGATATATACAGTTTGGTTTGAGCAAGTGGAGTACTTGCCAGCAGTTAGAAAGCACTCCTGGATCCAGCATGATGACCCAGTGGCTTGAACCACCGTGATGCTGTTCCTCTTAACTGGAACGACATTTTGAGTGTGGGCTGTCCCGCTTGTGATCCTGTCCTTAGCTGGTGGCTCTGGAAAGGCAGCAGATGACTGCCCAAGTGCTTGGGTCTCTGTCTGGTTCCCTCCTGGCTCTGGCCCAGCCCCGGCTGCTGTGGTCACGTGGGAGAGAAGCAGCAGATGGACCATTTCCTTCTCTGTCCTTATTTCTATGTTACTCTGCTTTCTAATTAAGTAAGTGAATCTTAAAAAATATGTCTGCCTTCATGTGCAGTTGATGAACAGTACAAAAACAAGTTGTGCAAGGATAGATATATGGAAGTGCCACTCGTATAAAATTACAAGTATTAAAATATATATGTAAAGGTATTAAATATAAAGTAATTTATAAATATATATAAAATATGAAGTGATTTAAAATATAAAGTAATTTATATTTTAATGTCTTTTATTTTATAAAATACACTGAGTATTTTTTCATTCGTAAAAAGAATGGCTGGGTGTCAGCGGTCTGATCCTCTCCCTGGAGTGGGTCCTTCCTTTAGCCCTTTGGTCCATGTCAGGCCCGTGCCTGGAAGCAGGCAGCTCTTGATAGAACACAGTGACCTGATCACTGACATCCGGTGTTTTCCTTCAGCGTGCGGGATGACAGGATGCGAGTGGAGAGGCTGGAGGACGTGTACTTCGAGTACAGCCATGCTTTCCAGGCGGTCACTGAGTTTTACACAAAGGATACGGTGGACACTCAAGGTAAATATTCTTTTTTAGATTTATCTGTTCTCTTGGAAGTCAGAATGGGAGAGAAAGAAAGAAATCTTTAATCTTTTGGTTCACTTGAGTGGCTGCAGTGACCAGGGCTGAGCAAGGTGGAAGCCAAGAGCCAGGGAATTTCATCTGGTTGTCCTAAGTGTGTGGCAGAGGTCCAAGCCTCTTCCACTGCTCTACCTGGGCCATTGGCAGGACAGTGGATTGGAAGTAGAGAAGCTAGGACACAGACTGGTGCTCCTGTGGGATGCTGGCATCACAGGTGGTGCCTTTACTGGCTAGGCCACACTCCTGGCCGCATAGGTAGATATTCTGTATGTGTTAGTCATGTGTCTTCAGACTGAATTCATCCAAGCGTTGGATAATAGTGTGTCAGTGACCTTTGCTTGGTGACAACAGGATGATAAGGATGGAGGGCAGCGCTCCCTGGGCCCGCGTTGCTGAGAACACAGTTAATAAAGTCTTCTGTCAGTCTGACCTTTTAGTTGCAGGCTGCCTTTCGACAGACTCACTGGGATGTAAGGAGTCAGTGCCCTTTCCTTTTTGCTTGTCTCTAAAGATGGGCTGTTTTTTGAGAAGCAGATGGATGGGAGATTTGCCCGCAGCTGCTCTGTTCCTCAGATGCCTGCCGAGGCTGAGGCTGGGTGGGCTGAAGCACAGAGCTGGGAACTCAGTCTGCTTCTGTAGGAAGCAGAAGCCGCGGTACTTGGACTGTCACCTGCTGCTTTGCAGAGCATGTTTTGTCAGCAAGAAGCTGCGATTGGAGGGCCAGGGTTGGCAATAGAGCCAGGTACTACTACATCACAGGGTGCGAGCTGCCAGGCCATGTGCCCGCTTGTGCTGTAGTTTATAGGCTGTGTGGCCGCATACTCTGATGAAGGCTAGCATTCCGAAAGGTTGACTGCCAGAATGAAAATGCTACCATGTTAGTGGCAGGGGCTGAGTGTCTGTGGTAACTATTATTGGGGGGGGCTCCCACGAGCTGAGCTTAGCGTCAGGGCTGGATCCCATCTGTACCTCATTCTGGCCCGCCCATCATCTATTAAGGTCGATTTCCCAGACCGTGAGTGTCTTTCCTGCTGGGCGTGTCCATTGTAAAGTCCTCGTCCCGTGCTGCAGCCCTCACACCCACCAGGCATCAGCGTCTCAGTCATGTGTGGTCTTGAAGCCAGTGGCCGAGAGGATGCACTCCTGAAGCCGGCTCTCAGCCCAGGGTGTGTCTCAACAAGGCAGAATTCCAAGGCTGTTGTAATCCTATCTTGGCATCTGGTTCACCTCAAAGATGTGGGATAGAAAATGCAGCTTGCCAACAGGGCCTGTGGTCCTGTTAGTGGCCATGTCCTTAGAGCAGCCTTTGCAGGTCCTTAGAACTGCTGGGAGCTTAAGTTGTTCTTTCTGGGGGCCAGCCAGCTCCTGGGAGAGGCAGGAGAGTCCCCATCTTGGCATGGGAAGCCACATATTGTTGTCTGTGTGTCTGTGTGTGTCACAGTCTCATACAGCTTGGGTTTATGCTTTACATTGATTTTTATTGGCTGTCTATTATGTGCCAAGTATGGGGCATATAATAAGCAATAAGGTAGACAGAAGTCCTTGCTCTTCTGGAGTTTACTTTCTCCTGGTAGGAGATAGACAATGAAACATTGTGTTAGAAGGTGAGGCATATTGGGAGGAAAAAAAGGTAGGAAAGGGGGTTGGACTGAGCCGAGACAGTGGCCCCAGTGTGCCCTGTGTGTGCAGATGGCTGCCCTGGCATGTGGTGAGTGCCTGAGATTTCTGAGCTAAGTGACTCGAATGCTCTTTGCCCAGGGAAGCTTTCCCGGGTCTGATCTGTAAAGAAGAGCCCAGAGGGACACAGGAGGACAGGCCGACAGGTGGACAGTTGTGGCATGCTTGTGGTGAGGGGGAGATGGGCCACGCAGCTGTCCCCTTGGCAACGTGCAGGGACTGGTCTGGCAGACCCCACTCCTGTCAGCAGATGCCTGATAGTCTGGGTTCTCAAAAGGTAATTTATTTCCCTAGTAATGTTCACTTAGGTTATCTCTAGGTTTTTTTTTCATTATTGCAAAGTATTACTCAACTCAAAATTATAATGTTCAGTTCAGGTGCTTGAGTATATATGTCCTTACACATTTTGAATTAAACATTTCTGGATGAAGAGGGATGAATGCTTTATGTTTTGAAAAAGATACTGACCGTCTCCAAAGTTGGGTTTTATTTCACTGTTGGAAAGTGCCCCTTCCCATGCCCTAGGTTTTTCTCATCATTTATATTTTCTCAAAGATCAGTTTTTATAGATTAAAAAAAAAAAGATTTATTTATTTTAAAGGCAGAATGATAGGGAGAAATAGAAAGAAATCTTCCAGCTGCTAGTGTACTGCTCGAATGACTGCAGCTGCCGGGGTGGTACTAGGTTGAAGTGAGGACCCATGTGGGTCTCCCTCGTGGGTGGCATCTTCTGTTGCCTTGCTGAGGCACATGGCAGGGAACTGGATCAGAAGTGGAGTAGCTGGGACTGAAACTGGCACTTCAGTGTTGGGTGTTGGCATCAGAAGTGGTGGCTTAACGTGCTGTGCCCCAGAGCTGGCATCTAGGGTAACTTGTTAATAATGGTAATAGGTAACAAACGGTAAGGGAGTTTATTGTGGTTTTTTTTTTTTTTTTAGGTTCTCAGAGTCTTTCTGGCATCCTTAACCTAGAGAAGCCTGTGGTCTGTTCTTTGGCTGCTGTAATAAAATACCTCAAAGAGTTTAACTTGGAAAAGATGCTTGCCAAACCTGAGTAAGTGATTTCTTAAAGACAGACAAAATATGGGGTGGTGGGGTTGGGGAGAAAGGAGTTATACTGAAAATGCAACCAAAATGAGTTTGGTAAAGTATTAGATTCGGAGAAATCGACCCAGTATGTCAGGGTGCAAGGATGAACTGTTTGGTATTGTTGCCAGAGAATATTAAAAACTATTAATTGATGAAAAATACTGGTGCAATACTGTCAAACCGATTGTTTTGTGATATTTATAAGACAAGGTTTGGACCATAAAACTGTGGCTTGTATTTACTGGGTTAGGAAGGAGTATTCAAATGTATTCATAAAGTTTCAGTGCCTTTCTTGGTCTTCATTTCAGTTCTTATTTTCCAGATCACAGAGTTGGAGATGAAAGCTACTTACAAAAAAAAAAAAGATTTATAAGGCAATGGGAGGGAAGGAGAGATCTCCCATTGTTGTTTCACTTTTCACTTCCCAGACAGCTACAGTGGCCAGAGGTGGGCCAAGCCAGAGCCAGGAGCCCGTGGTTTCTTCTGGTATTCCAAGTGGGTGGCAGGGGCCCAAGTACTTGGCCATTCTTCTGCTGGAAGCTGTGGAGCAGCTGGGTTATCAGTACCCATATGGGATGCCAGCATCACAGTTAATAGCTTAGCCCACTGCAGCACAACGTTGGCACCCCAGGTGACCACTTTTACAGGAGTTTTTTTGCCTGTAAAAGTCTTTTGCAGGAGTGATTAGATCTATAGATTTGGGGGATATGAAAACTGACCCTTGACATTTTAGGAGAATATTAGTCTAGTAACCAGTGGAATAGAAGCGAGGCAGTGTGTGATTTCCCAGCCCCCATGCACTCTGTGTTCACTTAGCCTCCGTGCTGATCCATCACTGCTCCCCTTCCCTGGAGGAGAAGGTGACAGCAGGTGACAGCTGAGGCACGAGAGGGCCTGCTGGCTCAGGGTTACCTGGGAGCAGGACGAAAGGCAGGTTCTGGTAATTTTTGTTTTATAAGGTTTATTTTGTTTATTTGAAAAGCTGAGTTAGAGGGAAGGAAAGACAGAGAGAGTTTCCACCTGCTGGTTCACTCCCCAGGTGGCCACATTGGCCAGAGCTGAGTTAATCCAAAGCCAGGAGCCAGGAGCTTCTTCCAGGTCATCCACGTGGATGGAGAGGCCCAAGGACTTGAGCCATCTTCTACTGCTCTCCCAGCCCATTAACAGGGAGCTGGACTGGAAATGGAGCAGCTGGAAGACAAACTGGTGCCTGTATGGGATGTGGACACTGCAGGCTGTGGATGGGCTTGCCACTGCCTTGGTCCTCTCTAGGGATTTTTTGGTGTGTGTTCTGCTGTGTGATTCTTTCTGCAGGGTTGAGAAAATATGAAACAATTATATGATGCTTACCAGCACATCCATGTTTAGTGAAGGTACAAAGAAATGCATTGAGGTGATGACAGGTTCACAGAGGGATTTCTTCTGTGCAGAACCAGGGAGAGCAGTGAGAGCTGGCAGGTGGCACAGTGGATTTCTGAGGGATGCCTCTTGTTTTTAACCTGGTGTGGTACTAATCGGCATGTGTGCCAGTGTAGCTGAAATGTGTTATTAAACAAAGTCACAGCCTGGCATTGCATCTCATTGGATTGTACTTTAAGCTTTGCAGATGGACTTGATTGAGGTAGGCAGCCTCTTTAAGTACGGTAATGGGATTTAAGAAAGACCTACAGGTTAACACAAAGGAAAAGGTCTGTGTAGGGACAAAGTAAACTCGAAGGAATGCAGTGAATAAACATAACAAACTTTGAGAGGAGCAGAGTTTGGAGCGAGGAATGTCCACATGGAGTTGGCCAAGCAGGCTGCATGAGACAGTGGCCTTAGGCCAGCCTGGTCCCTGGCTGCAGTCTGGGTTGGGGTTTTGGCAGGGTCTCTACCTTTTCCTAATGGGAATGGCCTCCCTGCGGCTATCGTACGGGCTGTGGGGCTGGTGCTCGACACCTGCTGGCCTTCTGGGAGCCTGAGTTCTACCTGCTGTAGAGGGGTTACTTAAGTGACCAGCCCCCAGCAGACTCCTGGACACTGAGTTTCTGACAGATTTCCGGAGCAGACAGTGCTTCTTAGATGTGAGCTCTTCACTGGGAAAATGACCAGCTTCCAGGGACACCCTGCTTGGTCTCCCCCTCACTGGCTTGCTAGGTATTCTCTCATCACAGTCCACCTAAGGAACTCTTCAACCTGGCAGTGACCTTGGGGACTTGACAAACACCTTCCTTATTTCCCCCTCGACTGGCTGTACACAGCATATAGGAATGCAAAGGTGGTCATGTTTGTGTTCAGTTACAACTCCATTAGAAGTACATTTACAGCAAAATTGAAATATTATCATTTTTTTTTTCTGAATACAATTAAATGCCAAGAAGTTAGACAAAGAGTGAATTCGTGAATTCTAAAACCTACAAGAAATCTAATTTTTCTTCTTTTTAAAGATTTGGTTTTTATTTTGAGATAGCTACAGAGAGAGAAGGGAAAAGATAGATCTTCGTGTGCTGGTTCATTCCCCAGTTGGCCACAGTGGCCAGGGCTGGAGCAGGCCAAAGCTAGGAGCCAGGCACTTTATCTGGGTCTCCCACGTGGGTGACAAGGACCCAAGGACAAGTCATCTTCTGCTGTATTTTCCAGGTCCTTATCCCAAAGCTGGATAAGCCAGCCCCTGGAGAACTGTTTGCAATATTCCATAGGATTTGATATTTTGGGTTTTTTCCACCTTTAATATTTAAACTGGGTTTTTGTAATGGATTGATCTCTCACATAAAGTCACATAAAGCACCTTTTCCACCTTTATTTAAATCAGAAAGATCGGTTAACATCCTTTAAAGTAGGATAGAAATGATAGTCTTCCCTTTCTCTAGCAAGCATTTGGCAGGAATACTTCCCTCCCACTATAAAACGTATGTTCTATACTTTTTGGTGACTGAAATATTACTGAAGTATTTGCTATGTTTATTAAAATTTCTTCTCAGGTTCACACAGCATGAATTCTAGCCAGGAACTGTTTACTAGATTCATTTCAAAGCATGTAAAATCTGGCTTCTTCCATAAGGATAAATAATTTAGTACTGCTTGAGGGCCTGGCGCAGTAGCCTAGCAGCTAGCACTGGCCAGGATACCATGTGGGTGTCAATTTGTGTCCTGATGGCCCTGCTTCCCATCTAGCTCCCTGCTGTGGCCAAAGCCTTGGGACCCTGTTCTCACATGGGAGTTCTCGAAGAAGCTCCTTGCTCTTGGTTTCGGATCACTGTAGTTCTGGCCATTGTGGCCACTTGGGGAGTGAATCAATGGACGGAAGATCTTCCTCTCTGTCTCTCCTCTCTGAATATCTGACTTTGCAATAAAAATAGAATAAATCTTAAAAAATGATTTAGGACTGCTTGGTTATTTCAGGCTTATGATCACACACAGATGCAGTCCTTGCCTCATGAAGTACGTGATCACTGACGGTTAGCAGGCTGTGACAGAAGGGCGCTGTGACAGAAGGGCGCTGTGTGGTGTTTGGAGGAAAGGCTACAGCTCCAGAACACTTAGCAGCCAGGTAGTCGGGAATTCAAAGCAGAGTTAGTTCTTGGAGCTGCTGCTTACTCTGACAGAGGAACTGCCTCCCTGAGGATTGCCTACGGGTTGATCTCTTCTGTTAAAACTGTTGCCTGGGTTAGTTGGAAAGAAACTTTTTCAGCGTATCTGATTTGAAGTTCAGATTAATGTTCAGTAAAGGCAGAAAAAAATCCACACCCATCCAAGCAAAACCCCGCACTGTAAAGCGTGTGAATGGTGCTGTGTGACGGGGCCCACCCGCCTTGGATTGGCCCACCCGCCTTGGGGCAGCCCACCCGCCTTGGGGCGGCCCACCTGCCTTGGATTGGCCCACCCGCCTGGGGGCGGCCCACCCGCCTTGGAGCTGTTCTGTCATCAGGGCTCTCCTTAGGGCTCAGGGCTTTTGGTAGAAAGAGGGTGCCTGCAGGACCCTAAGCCTGACGCCCCATCCAGGGGGAGGCCCGGGACTGAAGAGTTTACAGGATGTGGGAGCCTGCACGCGTGAGGCCAGTTATTGCTGGGGGATCTTCCATCCAGTGCCATGGATTTCACCAGACGAGTTGTTTCTTGCACTCTGCTGCCGATGGGTGATCAAAGCAGCAAGCTGCTCTGCTTTTTGGAAGGCTGTTGGAGTGTGGTCCCTTGCCAGGCCTTTCTGTCTTGCCAGCTGTGTGGTCTGAAGGTTTGTGTCCCTTCACTGCTGCATGTGTTGAAACCCAGTCATGTGGTGATGCTGAGAGGTGGGGCCTCTTGGAGGTGAGCGGGTTCAGAGGGCAGACCTCTTGCGGAGAGGAGCTTGGAGAAGGAGCCATGTGAGGACAGAGAGGGTCACCGGCCTAGAGTCTGCTGGTGACTTGGCCTTGGCCTTCTGAGCCTGCAGAGGTGTAAGAGGACAGTCTCAAGTGTGCTGTGCCAGTTGCCTGAGCAGCTGAGACTAGCAACCCAGCGTGCAGGTGTATCTGGTGGGGGCACTCACATGTTAACTGCCGGAGGACTGAAGCCAGTAAACCGGTCCAGAAAAGGGGTTGGAGAAGGCTCTTATGCAGCTCCTGGCCAACAGGGTGGCTTCCTCAGAGACCTGCTGCTCTTGCACCTTCGATTCTTGACCATGGGTTTGTGGGATGGCTATCAGCCCCACAATTGATCATTGCCTAATTACTTTTTCCTCTACATAATGTTTTACATTTTATAGTTGTCTCTGGGCATCTCACAGACATTTCTGGAGCTTTATGACTCAAAGGGTAAAAACAAACACCTCAGACTGTCTTCTCATGAAAAGGGAGCAGATTTTTTTTTTTTTAAAGCTTTATGTAGTTTTATTTGAAAGGCAGATTTACAGAGAGAAGGAGAGACACAGAGAAAGGACTTCCATCCACTGGTTCACTACCCAGGTGGCTGCAATGGCCAGAGTTGAGCCGATCCGAAGCCTAGAACCAGGAGCTTATTCAGGTGTCCCACGTGGGTGCAGGGTCCCGGGCCCCTAAGCTGTCCGTCCTCTGCTGCTCTCCCAGGCCGTTAGCAGGGAGCTGGATGGGAACTGGAGTATCTGGGACATGAACTGGTGCCAATGTGGGGTGCTGTGCTTTCAGGCTGAGGATTAACCTGACATGCCACCATGCCGGTCCCCAAGGATGCTTTTGAGCATCAGTGTCTTCTAGGCTTGCAGGTAGACAGGATGAGCAGGATTCTCTGGCAGTGGGGGTAGAAGCCCAGCAGAAACTGTTGTAAATCAAGACATGTGAAAAGGAACTGCTATCAAAGGAAAGGAAAAGAAAAGGCTGGGTGTGCCTGCCGTCATTCTGTTTTGGAGTTGGTTCCCTCTAGAAGTTATGGACAGATTGTCATCTTTTAGGGGATACATCAAGCCTGCCACGGATAACTGCCTGGTCAAAGGACAGCATGTGGTTGCCAGGCAACATTTCCACCAGGGGACAGCTTATTTCTCTTCAGCGCACTGAACCTTGGTGGGGGTCCCCAGGAACTGGAGCGACCTCCGTGGGTACTGCCTCTTTCGACTCTGATTGGGGTGTTTGAGATTCCAGGGTGAGGGCTTATTTCTAGCTTAAGAAATGGAATTATCCTTAAAATCCCATTACAGCATTGAGAAACATGGATGGTGATGAAATCACTTGACATAGATGAATGACCTGCTGTTACTTTTCTGGCCTTCGGAAATAATCCATCAAGTCTTAAATGTTAACAGAAACACCTAGGCACTGGCTGGCCAAGGGCATCACGTTCCTGCAGCGGCAATGCGCTGCTGCCTGCTTCCTAACAGGAATTAGAATCACCCCTTCCCTCATCTCAATTCTCAAGTCTACTGGGAATTTATTAGTTTATTTCTGATAGTTACAGGGCCATTGGGACTATGAATTCTTTGAGCTTAAGGAAATAGCTCTTGCTACTGTTGTAGTTCTGTACTGTTCACACATTGGCCAGGTACGTGAATATTGTAATTTTAGAGTACATAACATTTGCTGTACATACCAAGATATTGAGTCAAAACTTTTAATGTGTTTATCAAGTTGAGCTCACGCTCAAGAATAAGGGGGATGGTTTTAAATAGTTAGACATGTTGCTGGAGCTAATTGCACACTTTCTCCCTGAAGACAGCACTTTGGCTCTGCCAGTGGTGAAAGATGACGTTTGGTTTTATTCTTGTGTAAGACAAAAGCACAGCCTGGTTCCCATCATTTCCCTCCTGTGTTCAGGTGTTTGGGTTTGGAGGGTCTCTCCCCTCTAGCCCCGGCTTGCTGGAAGGCAATAGCTCCATGAATTGTCATTTTGTTTCTCTTGGGTTGAATTGTTGTAAAAGGGCCCAATTTTGTTATCATTTTGCAGGACTGTTTCTAGTCCCTAAATGTGTTCTGTAATTACCTCACATATTTACACCTCACTCATTTTTTTTTCCCCCAGGAACTTTAAGCAGCTCTCAGGTGAAGCAGAGTTTATGACTATTAATGGACCGACATTGAGGAATCTGGAAATCCTGCAGAATCAGGTGAGGCGGAGCTGAGGGTTCATTGAGTCCAGGGGTTCTGGAACGTGGGCAGGTGAAGGTGACCCAGGGTGATCTGCAGGCTGCCCTTGTGTGGCCCCTGGCCCCTGTGTGATGCACCCAGCCCTCACCGTCTGGAGAATCACGGACACCAGACCCCGCGTAGAGGCCTTGAGGAGAGCCTGCCAGGTCGCCACCATGGGCTGGTCATTTTTGGCAGCGTTTCTTTGTCAGATATTTCTTTGGAAAGCTATTGTTGTTAAAAATTAACATGAAATGAAATTTTTCTTTCTGCCTGATTATGTTTCTTTGTATATACCTTTAACCTTTTCTAGAACTGTTAGAAGTCTTTCTTTAGCCAGCATTTGAAACAAGCTAACTGTGATACGTTTGGCCAGAAGATATATAGTGTTATTGTTTACTTTTTCTTTATTAATGAGTTAGGAAGATAATGAAGACATGGAAAATGATTGTTTTCATCGATTAAACTGTCAGTTGGAAAAGGAAATGCCATAAAACTAATGGCGTAAATAAAGTCATAGCAATAAAAAATAATTGTACATTATTTGATCAAGTAGTGGAGAGTTGCAACAGTGTGAATCAAGCATTCAGAACCCTTTAGGAATACTTGTTACTGCTGCAATTGAGGACCTAACTCATCCTCCTGACTGCTGGATCCTCAGACTTGTTATTAGGCAGTTTGTCTGACAGTGTCTCTCCCTCCCCTAGTCTGTCCCTGTATGCCCAGGTCAGGCTTGTTTTGATTCAGTTCCATAGTTACCCTGCCAGTGTGTCCTCCAAACACTGTGTTCCTGCCTGGCCGGCTCTCTTCCCTTGTCTGCATACATCCCCAGGACAGGAAAGAGGTCGTGGGGATAAAGGGACGTCTCTTGACCGAAGAGGAGTAGAGCACACAGCTCCTGCATCCCAAGCTGTCCTTGCTCATGCCTTGTGTTCCCTGTTCAAACCTTTCTAAAGCTGTCAGGTTCCTATGGCAACACCCTTGCACATTCCTCCGGGGCTCAGGACGTTGGGCTCAGTAGGGAGGGAAGCTGAGAATTAAGGCCTCGTGCTTGACTGCACACTCAACTCTGGCTTGCCTTCCCCCAGAATGATGGACAGGATTGTTCGGGAGGGCACAGAGTGTCAGTATAGCAGAGGTATTGTAAGACACGTATCTCCCACTGCCCCTCCAGTGATGTCAGGTGATTGGAGACTGATTCCTGGCCACTGTCCTCCTCACAGGTCCCTTGATTACCAACAGGCCCCTTGTGCTCTTGGGCAGAGTGTGTGGTGCTGTTCTGAGCTGGACCACCTCCTTGGTCCACCTACCTGCCTAGCCCATCCTTATGGGCTCCACCCTGGCGGGTGACTGCCAGCTGGCATGAGTCTTCTCTTCCAAGCTTTTGGGCCATGCGTTTGGTGATGGCACTGCCACATTCACAAGCTGGAAAGACAAAATTTCTGACTCAGGTGGAAACAGCAATGTTATGTTCCAAATAAAATGTCAGACTTTGTCATAGCAGGTTTAACTTTTCAAGTGGCAGAGGAGAGGCAGATAAATCTTTACTAAGGGATGTAGCCAAACAGACAAGGAGGACCTGCAGGGCCCATAGATGGGGCAGTGTAAGTTCACTCTGGCTCTGCCATCTTCTACTTGCTCACTGTTGGCCTGAGAGTGTCAACACGGCTGTGAAAATGGTGACTCACAAATGGTGGGAGGCACTGAATTGCTACAGAAAGATTAACTTGTCCTCACCATAGTATAGTTCCCGAAATATGGAAATGTGAAATCATATTTTTAAGATGCTGAAAATAAGCGTATATTTCCACAGAGGCTTCTAAACAATTTATTCCTAACCTAAAGCTGCAGACTCCCTTTTCTCTGTGAGGTATCGACCCTTGATCATATGGTGCATATTAACACGTCTGTGTGCCATGAGCATTATTCAGTGAACGCTGACCAGGAGCCACGGCTTGGGCTGGGTATGTGTAACACTGACATCTGGGGTGGATTTGAGGTCATTGTTCAGGGGGCCCCAAAAAATGATTTGGTGTAAATTTGATTGTCTAATTAATAAAGTTTGTTTTCTTGTGTTTCTTAGACTGATATGAAAACCAGAGGGAGTTTACTTTGGGTCTTGGATCACACAAAGACTTCATTTGGACGACGGCAGTTAAAGAAGTGGGTGACCCAACCACTCCTTAAATTGAGGTAAAAACGAGTTCTTTTTCTGTGTGTTTAGTTTGCAGTAACAAAATTATAAAATTAAAGGCAGGGTAGTCTTTTTAAAGCTAAGATCACCCTGGTTTGTAAAGACCTCATTTCAAAGTAGGGAAGATTTGATAATGTCGCTAGCAATTGATGAAGTCACTTGAGGATTTTTCATCGTCCCAAGAGTGGGTCCTGCTTGTAGGTTGGCAGGTGTGGTGTTTTCTGGGAGTGTTTGGTTAGTTTGGACCCACAATAGTGAAGGCAGTAAGGAAGGCCTCGACTGGAGAGGGGGGTGGGTGCCTTTTGTGGCTTCTGCAGTGAGACCGAGGTGTTGGTAGCTGGAAGGAGTTAATTAGTAACCCTAAGCTGGGATAAGGACAGTCACAGCTGGGATTGTGTACTATTAGGACGGGCTCAAGTGGCTGTGGCAGTAGCGGTGATGGTGGTTGTGGGGTCAGGATGTTAAGTAAGTTCCCTAATAGGTGTAGAGAACTTGGAACTTAAGCGGTCACAGCAGGAATGCAGGAGAGGGACCGGTGTGTGACGTGAGGACAGTAGCAGGAGTAGACCAGGTGCTCCTCCAAGGCCTGCCTTGAGTATGGCATTTCCAAGTGTGGACACTTTCCCAAGTCGGGATGCCTGGATGTAGCCCCTGAAGCTGTTGTTTAGGTGTGTTTGGGGGTTTGGGATTCTGGATTGGGGTGTTCCCCAAGTAATTCTGACAGGCAGGTGGATATGGGGACTCTGCCCTGGAACAGGGCTGGGCTGGCTGAGTGCTGTTCTTGCCAAGCCCTGGCTCTGTACCAGTGTGGCCTATGCAGAGCTTCCGTCGCCTGCTCAGTATTGCCTGGCTGGTAGAACACTAAGATGTAAAGCTTCATCCTGGACAATAACTGCCTGCCCAACTCCTCCCACAACTGGGCCAGAGAGGTGTGGGTAGGGGAGACCAGCTGCCACGTGGGCTCTGTCCTTCCACTGAGTCTCCCCTGACTGCTGTCAGGAACAGAGCAAGGCAGTGACCCTATAGCCTTTGAGAGCCGGGCACCTGACGCAAGGCCTGTGCTGGGGGGCTGCGGGGCTGAGGGGATGACCCCATCATCGTCTGTACTGCGGGACGGGTGTCATCTTTGTTGGTTGTAGGCTCTGGGACAGTTCTGAGACAGTGATTACCAGACCACTGTAGATTCTGTGGGTCCCCTGATTTCCTTAAAAGCTTGAAGAGGGAAAGTCCAGAAGTGGAAGAATCTCTGTTGGTTGAATCCTGTGAAGTCAGCGGGAGACCCTGCGGAGTGCTTGAGCGCGTGCAGCCTGGCTGGCTCTGTGGGGCCCGCAGCATAAGGGAGCAGCAATCTAGTGTTCTGACTGCCCGACACTGCGTGGACAGGCGCCCTCCTCAGTTCATGCTGTTGAACCCTGCTGGCCTGGGCTGTGCAGCAGCAGAGATGCAGACTCTGGCACATAAACCAACTTTCTCTTCCTAATATTAAGCTTTCTGTTATGTAACCAGGAATAATTGGAGACAAGTTCAGTGGACCGTGTGTGTCTGCTCTTAAGCCTTGACTCGTGTCTCCCACGGGATGCTGTCTGCATGTCACACAGGGACCACACGTAATTCCCAGTAGGAACTTGATGCTGGCCTAGCACATCAGCCGAAAGCAAGCAGCACATAACATCTTGTCTTTGCTCTTCTTTATTTTAGGTCATGGTTTTAAAGCTTTCATCTTCCTACTTCTTTAAAATCCGCTTCCAGAACAGTTCCAGTTCAGTGTTAATGGCACTTGTGGCCTGTTCCCAGCAGATCCCTGGAGGGAGTGCTTGGCTCTGGGGTTGCTGTTGCTCACATCCGTCCAGGCTCGTGTTCTCTGATTTTGACGGCCATGTGTTAGCTTAGGGTCTGGTTTCGTTCCGCAGGGAGAGCATAGAGCAAACAGTGGGCAACCAGAAAACTGACACGGTAAGGCAGATGAGCCATCTGCCAACTCTGGAATCCTCTAAGAGCTCTTTGTGCTTTTACCCTGTTCTGGCCCCTGAACGGTACAGAGTTTGTAAATCTGTGTTCACGTTTCTATTCCTCTGAGTGTTTATTCTGTAAAATAGCCTTTCAGGTGTAGAATTTGACTAGTGACTTAGAAATTACGAATGGCTTTTACTTTTACCAACTGATTTCAGAGTTTACTTACATTATTGAGACAGTGTGCCAATACCACATTGGCTTTTAAAAACGTACAGTGGCCTCTAGTTAATTTTTTTTAAAGATTTTATTTATTTTTATTGAAAGTCAGATATACAGAGAGGAGGAGAGACAGAGGAAGACCTTCCATTCGCTGATTCACTTCCCAAGTGGTCAAATGGCTGGAGCTGAGCCAATCTGAAGCCAGGAGCTTCGTCCAGGTCTCCCACATGGGTTCAGGGTCCCAAGGCTTTGTGCTGTCCTCCACTGCTTTCCCAGGCCACAGGCAGGGAGCTGGATGGGAAGTGATTGCTAGTCTAAACTATTTGGCTCACCTGTGGCTCGCACGTGATGTGAAGGGGCCACGAGCTGCACATCCCTGCGCGCTGCCTCTTCCTGTGGAGTGTGGGGCAGGTGCTCCGGCTGAGTCCAGTTTAGTCTCACGGGCGTCCTCTTGGAGAGCGTCGCAGCCTGCTCTCGAAGGGAGGAGAGAAAAGCGCAGCTGAGGACCCCAGTCACGGCCCGCGAGGAACAGTTCAAGATTTAATTCAATTTTATTATTAGTAAATCTCTCAAGAAAATTAAGCAGTTTAAGTATATTGCTGACCTTTAAAATCATATGCACAATCAAAAGTAAAGGGAGTAGAAAATTACGTTAAGGAAATAGATCCTTAGCTGCGTTTTTGGGTGATTTTTAGTGAGCTCAGAATATTTTAAGGCTTCTTAATTCTTTTGAACCAGTAAAAGTTTTATTTTGGCAAACGAATGTATTTGTAGTAGTGACATTTGTGTTTTTCTTTTGTTATCCTGGTCAAAATGATGAAGTAACAGAATGTTACCTGTTTCTTTTCACTTAGCATTTGTTTTATATTAACAAAACTAAATACCAGTTTAGCTCTCTTGAACTTCTTGTTGCTGTTTTTAAAAACTCGAAATTTTTATTTGAGAGAGAGAGAGAACAGAAAGACTCAGAACTTCTGACCATGGGTTTGTTTCTGAAATTTCTACACAACCACGGCTGGGTTGGGTTGGACCACAGCTGAGAGCTGGAAGTTTAATCCAGGTTTCCCAGTGAGTTGCAGGAACTCAATTTCTCAAACCATTTCCCAGAGTCTGGAGTTGAGAGCTGGAGTTAGGCGTTGAACCCAGACACTGCGTAGGGTATGGGGTGACTTAACCACTGCCGTGACCACTAGTCTAAACCCTGCTGCTTATTGGTTCCTGCTCACAGGGTTCTGTTTGTGCCTAGTTCTGTTAGTTTAGGTCACAGTCATATTATTTGGAAGTTTAGTGTTTGGGATAACAGGAAGACAGGGATGCAGATGCTGTCTACCCAAGAGCAGTTTGGTTTGCTTCTGCTCAGATCCTGAAGGCACTACCATTCTGGAACCCTGATAATTCAAGGCCAATGCTGAAGATGTGTCAGTTGCTCCAAGTGACACTGAGAAAGACTGCAGGACTGCCCTTCCCGGGAGGCCAGCTCATTCCCCAGTGGATCTTCCCTTCATATTTCTCTGCAGCCCAAATGTTTCCCCATGTTTCTCTGCATCCAACCCCTCCTCTCCCCATAAGTGCAGCCCAGATAAATCTGCATAGCAGGAAAGTTGATTGAGGAGGCAGGTAAACAGACCAAGTGGCTGGGGTCAGCTCTCCTTTCCTTCAGAGAGTGACCCCAGGATGGGAGTAGTTGCAAGGGTTTTTATAGAATAGGTGGGTCAGGCAGCCTTGGGAGGCCGCCATGGGGACCAGGGTCACTGGCAGGGCATGTTGCACCTTGTGCTTTGGCCCAAGAGCAGGAAGCTGGTACTGCGTAAAGAGCGGGTTGGCAAACTTAGGCAGGCCTGAACTACAGCGACTCCATTTTGTGACTAGATTCTACACAAGATGGTTGTGCCTGTTTCTCTGGCGTCGTGCTTTTGTTTAGATTTTTGTGTAGTTACTGATCACCAGGCACTCATCAGTGATGTTTTTGTGAGCAAGGTTTTATGTTTTGTTTAGCTTCAAAAATTGCTCAGTGGAAAGGGGTGAGCTGCAAGCTCCTAGTCCCACCATTCCCAGAAGCAAGCAGAATTTCTGTTGCTGCTTTTCTCAAAGGCTCAGTGTGGCTGTTAGTATTTTTTAAGGTTTTGTTTATTTTTATTTGAAAATCAGATTTGCAGAGAGAAAGGTCTTCCATCTGCTGGTTTACTCCCCAAGAGACTGCAGCGGCAGGAGCAACCAGAGATGAGCTTATCCAAAGCCAGGAGCTTCTTCCGGGCCTTCCATGTCAGTGCAGGGACTCAAGGCCTTGGTCTGTCCACCACTTGCCCAGGCCACAAGCAGGGAGCTGGAATGGAAGTGGAGCAGCTAGGTCTAGAACCAGCACCCAAATGGGATCCTGGTGCATGCAAGGTGAGGACTTCAGTCACTAGGTTACCGCACCAGGCCCAGGCTGTTAGTATTTTAAAGGTGAATTGTGCTCTATTGAACAAAATATAGCCTCATTAGCACCTGAGTAATAAAAATCCTTTAAAGCTTGTTGGATGATTTATAATTAGTAGCAGTGTAAATATTTTCAGAATAGCTCTTTAGGATGTAATATTATAAATAAAATTTTGCCTTTCTTTGGTGCTCTGTGCAGCTTGGAGCACGGTGTTGGTGGAGGTTACCTCCCTGCGTCTTGTTACCACATATCTTCCTCCTCTCGATCTGATGAGCCCCGCTCCTGTAGTTCTGCCTCGGGATGTCTTGAGCCTACACACTCCTCTCTCCTTCTCGCCTCTGTAGGCCCATTCACACAGTAAGCCTGGGTTCTCATGCTCCCAGGATAAGGTCCATGGACACAGGGTCTGCATTGCTCACATGACTGGTCCCCGTTCCTCCTGTCCCATGTCCTTCACAGTCACACGCTGAGACCCTCAGGCTGTCCTCCTGCCCCTGGACATGGCTGCTTCTCCCAGGTGTCCTTTGTGCCTGGATCATAACCTGGTTATCATCTCACACTGTTTCTCCTTTAAAAAAAAAACTTTACTGTTCACAGCACGGCAGAGCAAATTCTGTAGAAAAGAGGTCAAAGGACTGTTGTTAACAGTTACAACCCTGGGCCCCACACAGTGCCTAAATTCTCACCTTGTGTGCACCAGGATCCCATATGGGTGCCAGTTCATGACCTGGCTCTTCTGCTTTCCTTCCAGCTCACTGCTTATGACCTGGGAAGGCAATAGAGGACGGTCCAAACCTTGGGACCTACACCCATGTGGGGGACCTGAAAGAAGCTCCTGCCTTCAGATAGGTTCAGCTCTGGCCATTATGTCCATTGGCGAGTGAACCAATAGATGGAAGATCTTTGTCTCTCCTTCTCGCTATATATCATTTCAATTTAAAAAAATGTTAAAAAAATTACAGCCTTAAAGCTACCACCTTCTACAGTTGGTACTTTGTAGCATTCCATCGTCATCCACTGAGTGAATGAATGATAAATGACTGATGTGTGTGGAAGATGAAGCCAGGTAAGTCCTGGTGGTGAGACGTCAGTTCCTTTAGGATAGAGGCTTGTCTGGCAATTGGCTTAGCTGTATCACATGACTAGTGTGTTCATTTCTAAATTTAATGGAATCATTTTGTATTCTTTGTCTTTAAAACAGATCTTTTGGGTTAAAAAAAAAAGATAAAAAGGTAAAACCCAGACAACATGACCACCAGTTTGCATTTCAGCATTCCCCTCCCACCCCGTCAATAATCCTGCAGTTTGGATGACAGTGGCATGCATGCCGGGACAGTGTGCAGGCCAAGACTGCATCAGTGGCAGGACACGATGGGTATCTGGTGGGTACTGGCACCCACACCTGGCCCTGTACCCAGAGACACTGAGGCAAGGTCCAGGAATTGGCAAGTGGCAGAGCTTGGGCTTGAACCCTGGCCCCTGGCTTCTGGGCCCCAGCCTGAACTCTGAGCTGTTACTCACCTCAGGAAGGGAATGCATCCGGAACATCCTGCTTTTTTTTTTTTTTTTTTTTTTTTTTAAATGCTGACGTGAGATTCAGCTAGATCTGCCTCCGTTTTTTTTTTTCCCGGAACCCAAACCAACTCAGCACAGCCTTTCTAAAGAGCATATCGTTTTATGCCTCTTAACAGAAATTTTCCTAGAGAACTGTATAGCTCTGACTTAATCTTTTACTTTTTCTCTATCCCAGGAGGAAACCTTTAGTTTCTGAGATGATAGCTCTCTGTGTAGGCTGCCTTACATGCTCACAGATGGCATCATTTTGTCCATCCTCCAACCATCTGTAGCACCAACTTAATCTATTCCATTTGGTGTCATCTTTCATTTATGTAAGAGTGAGTTATTAAAGTAAAAGTAGCATTTGGGGTAAATGTTAAAGTGAAATATTGATTTGTTTGATCACAACATCCTCTGTAAGGAAAATTTAATTCTGTATTTATTTTGCCTCATCTCCGTGTGCTTGGTATGTATTCTGTAGAACTGGATTGATTTGAGCAGCACCTGTACGTTGAGCATGTTTTGCCACCTTGACCTGGGTAGGGATGAAGAAATGACCCTGCCCCATGCCAGGTCTACTTCTGCATTCAGAGACCATGAGGTCAGAAGTACCACTGCAGAGCAAATACCCTGAGATTTCTGCTATGGAGAAAGAAAAGAGGGAAAGAAAAGTGGCCAGGAGATTCAGTCTGATTTCCAGGAGCCAGGCGAGCCCCTTCAGAGGAAGAATGGGAGGGAGTTTGCCAGCTGAAATGGACTGGGTAGGTGGAGGTGGGAGTTTTCCATTCTAGGCAGAGCCATCAGGAATTGAGAGAGCCTGGGGTCCCAGAATCTGGAGTGGCAGGTGATCTCCAGGGAGACCAGAGGGATAAACGGGGACCTGGTCCCGTGTAGGCCGCTGAATTTTCTGGACATTCTTGAAGCTGAGATTAATGGCACATCATTGATGAGCTGGAGCAGAGATGCCACGTGAGCAGACTGGGGGTTTCTGGTGGGATTGGGTTAATGCACCGTGCGGAAAGAAGTAGCCGTACAGGGCATTAGGACAAGTGATCTTGACTGAAAACAGGGTGGTGCCGCAAAAGTCTCTAGCCACACATGTTGACTAGGACTTGGGATGAGGTCATGCCCAATGGCAGGTGCAACTGGGAGTTACAATCTGTGTTTGCCTGGTGCACCAGTGTCTGCTAATTCCTACCAAGACTTTCCTTGTCTGGCATCTGCCTCTTAACTCATGATGCTAAGGCAGGCAAGGCCCCAGGACAGGAATCTGTTTCATTTGTGCTGTTCTCAGTGGCCCTGTCCCTGTCCCTGGCTTCTGAGTGGGCAGTGTGTACACCTGACGATGGCCCTTGTAATATCTGCTCCTAACTGCTCTCCTCTCACAGGGACATCAATGCCCGACTCGATGCTGTATCTGAAGTTCTCCATTCAGAATCCAGTGTGTTTGAGCACATAGAAAGCAACCTGCATAAATTGCCTGACCTTGAGAGAGGACTTTGTAGTATTTACCACAAAAAGGTGAGTGCGACGTAAGTCAGATCTACTAAAGCTTATCATGGCCCTTAATTTGAGGGCACCTGCTCTTAAAAGAAAAGCAGCTTGAAGCTCTGTTGTTAACTGGCTTGAGTTTTTTTTTTTGTTTTGTTTTGTTTTGTTTTGGGGTAAGACCTTACAAATAGCATGAGGAATGGTAAAATTTGCAGAAATTTTGCTTGCACAAGTAGGGGTTATTCCAGTTCTTCTGTTGTAAAAAAGTAAAGTTTTCCAACTTCTGTCAGCCATACCAATATGAAGGGCCTTCAAAAGTTTGTGCAAAATACATATTATTTTTAGCTTTGGTTTTTCTGTGGATACGGTATAGTGCTGCCCTGGGATGTCTGGGCCCCTCTGTTATACTCCAGAATATTCCATTTCAGCCCCCAAAATCAGAGTGTTATCAAAATGGGGACTTCACTTCCATTTGTTACTTGAAAGAAGAGATTCTTTTACCTAAAACAGCTTCTTACTTGGCTTAACAACGGAAAAAATCTGCTCTCTGATGTTTGTGAGGTTACTAATATACAGTTAGGGTGTTGAAAATGACTAAAAAGCATTATTTTAACTTTATCCCGAAAGTTTAATAGTTTGAAGCACAGCAGTAGCAAGAAGTCTTCTACGCTTAAAGGAAGAATGTCACCTGTTGCTGCTGTCGCCTTCTCTCCTGGTTATTCTGTGGTTTTGTGCCTTTGGTAAAAATCTGACTGTAGTGTCAGCAGAGTCAGAGTCATGTGTGTGTTTAGCCCACCGCCTTACTTTATCTTCAGTTATATGTGAACTTACTTATTGCTTATTGAACATTTTTTTGTTTTTTTCATCTAACTTATTATTTGGATCATTCATCTTTTTTGTGTTAATTTGTAAGAGCCCATTTAAAAAATAAGCAGATTTATTTATTTGAAAGGCAGAATGACAGAGAGAGACCTTCCATCTGTTGGAAGATGTTTGACCAATGCTGGGCTAAAAAAAATCCAGGAGCCAGGGACTCCATGTGGGTCCTGCACAGGGGTGGCAGGGCCCAGGCATTGGGCCATCCTTTGCTCCTGTGCCAGATGCACTAACAAGGAGCTGACTTGGAAGTGGAGCGACTGGGACTCAAAAGGGCTCCTTTTTAGGGTGCTGGTGTCAGGCTGTGGCTAAACCTGCTATGCCACAGAGGAGCCCATTCAGTCTGGGGAGTAGTTTTTCTTTATCTCTTGTGTATGTTGCAGCTATTTCTTGAATTATCCTTCACATTTTTTTATATTGCTTACTGCTTTTTCATAGTATAAATTCAAAATATTTTGAAATGAAAAATTACAAATAAGCACTGTCTCTATTATCTCTGCCTTAAATTATTTTCTTCATATCTTTAAAGTATTGTACAATGTTTGAGCTCAGAAAGTACCAGTAATTTGTTTAATTTCAGGTAATAAGTTTTCCTGTCTTCTGCTTATAACTTGAATAAGATTACAGACCATTTTCCTGTACCTTATGCTGGTTAGTTTAAAATGGCTCTTTTTTTCAGTGTTCCACTCAAGAGTTTTTCTTGATTGTCAAAACTCTGTGTCACCTGAAGTCAGAACTGCAAGCGCTGACACCTGCTGTGAGTGGCCAAGTGCAGTCGGAGCTGCTGCGGACGTGTGCTCTAGACATCCCCGAGCTCCTGAGCCCAGTGGAATGGTACCTGCACGTCCTTAACGAGCACGCTGCCAAGTAAGGGCCAGACCCTCAGCTCTGCCTTGCCAGCAGTGAATGCAGTCCAATGCACTTGCCTTTGAACAAGGCAAGAGTTCATCATCGTGGCTAGAGTCAGGGTCCAAGTTGCATGAGTCCATATGCAATTAGAAATGTCGTTAGATACTAAAAGCTTTCTGTGCAAGCCAGAGTTGATGTGAAAGCTGTGCAAAAATTTAGACAGTTCACCAAGTCACACAGATGTGGCGCTGCCTCAGGTATTAGGTGCTGAGAGGAGAAAGCCCAGTAGCAGCAGCTGCTGTCACTGGATGTCTTGGGGATGGTCTGCCTTGCGTTGAGAATCTGATTGTCACTGGATGTCCTGGGGATGGTCTGCCTTGCATTGAGAATCTGCAGATGCATTTGTCCTTGAGAGGGTGGTTGATACACGGTGCGGGTCACAGGGAGCGCTGTCCAGAAGACAGAGGATTTGGCATGTACATTTGTCCTTATTTTCTGAGCAAGCACATGACAAATAATGTAAGTTTATCTCTTGGTTTCACAGTGAGAATTATGGGTAAAATGAGAATGGCGGTGGAGTCAGCTGTCCATCCCACAGAGTTCAGAAATGTACCCGGAAGCGTTTAGTGGTAGAGCTGATGTGAGAACCACATTTTCCTAATTACTGGCCCTTTGATCCTTCATCATGTGATGAAAATCATTGATAACTGGCCTAACACGTGTGCTTCAATATGTGTGTTCATATTTTAGGAATGGAGATAAAACTGAATTATTCAACGACCTCTCTGACTTCCCTTTAATAAAAAAGAGGAAGGATGAAATTCAAGAAGTTACAGAGAAGATCCAAATACATTTGCAAGACATCCGAAAAATACTAAAAAATCCTTCCGCACAGTATGTGACAGTGTCAGGGCAGGAGGTAATGTGAAGCATGCTTTTGTTTTCCTTGAGCTTTGCTTGAGTGGAAAGCTGCATTAGCATGTAAATAAGTGAAGATGGAATGTTCCTGTTTGTTCCTTGGAAATGTACTGTGGTAACTTCTGATAGAAATGGAACTACGTGGACAATGTTTTATTAGTCTCTGTGAAGTCCTGCAGCCTGGGGTGTGGATGGATGTTAGCTGTTGTCATTGTTAGAGGGTTCATTTGTTCTGAACCCAGGAGAGACAAGTTGATCTTGGATCCCTGACTGAGCAGAGAATGGCATGATGCAAAGCCACCATCCTCTGATGGCTCCAGTGCTTGATCCATTTGGGAGTATGACTACTACAAAACCCCAAACGCCAAACAGAACCGTACTAACAGTGTGTGCGCAGTGAGCCTGCCCCAGGACTCCGGTGCTGTGCTGTGCAGTGGGTGCTTGTGCTCGGGGCATGGGAGAAGTTCACTGTCTGAGCATTTCTGTCTCTGCAGGATTTAACATGCGGACATCCCAGCCAGACATTCCAGGCTGGGGATGTGACAAACTCTGCTTTGTTAAGTAGGAAATTTGTGCATCCTTTCCACTTTTATTTGTGATCTTACAGATCGTCCACTGCCTCTGTGGCAGTCTTTATCACATTAGATAGATAGATAGATAGATAGATAGATAGATAGATAGATAGATAGATAGATAAACTATCCCATAATCTTGAATTAAATACAGAATGGGACAATACTTTGATCTGGGGGTGTCATTGTTCAGTCTTATTATTCCTAAAGGAAAATGAACAAGGTAGTGGGGAAAAACCACTAGAAAGTTTTACTGAGCATGTAGCATCTCCGGATAGCTGTTTAGTGTGTTTAAAATGTGAAAAACATTCTCTGTTGAACCATTTAAATAAAAAGAAGAAAATTCTTAAGAGAAGCAAAGGAAAAGAAAGGACATTTGCAGAAGCATGTAGTGCCAGAGACAGCAGAAGGCACTTTCTGGAGTGAATTAATTTCAGCAGAGTGGCATTGATGGCAGCCCAGTGATGACCACAGGCTGTGTTTTGAGTAAGCAGATCCAAGATGGAATTGGGTCCTGTGAGAAGAATTCAAGAGATTGCTGGAGCAAATCAAGGCAGACTTCTCGCATGAACACCTAAGAACAAAGTCAAGAAGAGTGGAGCAGGGAAAGTTGCTATGACAACTTTCTAAGATTTCCAAAGTACTTGTTGGTTTCCTTTTCTTTAACAATGAAATCTGTAAACAAAAGGCTTACTCATTCCTTCGTACAAGGCTTGAAAAAGGAATAGCTAGAGAGAAATTGTTATAGCCTATAGCCAGTACGGAAGAGATAGGAAGAGCCGGAGCCTTCAGCGGCTTCTTTCCGCCTCTATGGAGTCCGGACCAGTAGTGGCTTTGCTCACTTTGATGAGATCTGTGGTCAGGGAACTCAAGCTGGGTGCTGTTGGAGCAGGCCTAAATCAGGTCCCAAGGGTGCGTGGGGAGGGGGAGGGAAAGGCCCTAAGCTGGCATGGTGTGCCCATGGGCATCTCTGGGATCCTGCACTTGAATTTGTGTCCCAGAGGAGTGGAGAGGTAAGGTTCCAGACCTGCTCACCTGCCAGAAGACCAGGACTGGGGACCTGTCAGTGATCTCGGGTCCAGAAGACCAGGACCAGGACCTGTCAGTGATCTCGGGTCCAGAAGACCAGGACTGGGGACCTGTCAGTGATCTCGGGTCCAGAAGACCAGGACTGGGGACCTGTCAGTGATCTTGGGTCCCGAAGACCAGGACCAGGATCTGTCAGTGATCTTGGGTCCAGAATTGTGCCCTTTCCCAGGTGTCACACCATAATTAATAACATTTGACTATGTTGATTATTATAAAGTTTCCCAAGGACTGTACTGGATTTATTTTGAATGCTTAAAACAATATTTTCTAAACTGTTGTGTCACAATTTTGAGAAAGCTTTAAAAATATGTTGACTTGTGATTTAGATGTCTAACTGTATGTTTTTATTTATTTCAGTTTATGATTGAGATAAAGAATTCTTCTCTATCTTGTATACCAACTGACTGGATAAAGGTTGGAAGGTAGGCTTAAAAAATAAATTTTTTCTTAAAACATGGATTATAATGACATGTGTATGCCTGTATGTTACTGGAGTGATGCAAGCTGCAGTCTTGAAGGTAGAAGCAATTTTCCCTCTTGATTTCCTTTCAGAACTTTTCATCAAGGTGATAATTGTCTGTTTTTGTCACTGATTTCTAGTTGTTTTTTAAAAGGTATCTTTATACAGCTCTCTTCTTGCTTTGTAACTTACTGTTGTTGTGATTCTGAATACACACAGGGAGGAGAGAGGCCCTTGAGTTCTAACACACTGGTGGCTTGAGCTTTCCGTGAGTGCCCTGCCACCGCTGCTTCCCAGAAGCTGGGATTTTGCTTTCCACCTTGCTACGCTCCAGCATTCTTATCCTAATGCCATTCCTGGCAGCTAGTTACAGACAGGCTCTGTAACTGGAGCCTGAGTAATAAAAACACATTATCAGAAAGATGAGGGAAGCACGCTGATGCTTGGCCTTTTCTCCAGGGTCGGGCGTTGGTCCCAGGGGGGCCTCCCGGCAGGAAGCAGTGGCAGAGGAACCTCCAGCCTGGGAGGGGGCTTGCAGAGGCCTGCTTGCTAGGATGGGACAGTGACACTGGTCTGAGACGGTGCAACAGCAGCCAGGAGCTGGGGACAGAACTCGAGCTTGATGGTGAAGGCAACTTTTGACATGAGGTGTCGATGGTTATTGATGCCTTATCTTAACTAAAAAGGAAGACTGTTACATGTTGGCACAGCAGCAGATCCCGATGGTCTGAGCCCGGGTCTGTACTCTAAAGCTGTTCTTCCTCTGTTACCACGAGCTGGATTTGAGAGGGAGGATTTTTTATTTTAGGGAATGTTGCCTTCTCTTTCTTTTCATGCGCTCTTGCCTTTCTCTACTTCTGTCCTGTGCTATAACTAGTGAGTAGAAATACACCTGATGGAGAGAGATTTCTAAAATATCATTTTAATCCATCTACAAAAGTAGCTGAAATGTCTTGGTAAATGGGTTTTTTCAGAGAAGAAAGTCATAATAACTCTTTTCGCATAGAAGTGTCTATTACATAATTTAAAAGCAGTATGCCAGGCATAAATCAGTGACAGCATCTTTTCAACTCTGAACATTACGTAAATGGAATGAGTGACCAGGACAGGTTGGGGGAAAGTGTGACCTTGAGTCTGTTGTGTGGCCCTTGTGGTCCTCACAGGCTAGGTTAGACCCTCTTTGTTCAGAGTTTGAGTGCCAAAGGCTTCGACCTAAGGCAGAGTCTGCTAAGCTGAAGGTGATTGTGACGGTGTTACCACAGTGAGGGGGCAGAGAGGGACCAGAGACCTCCCCAACCTCATCTTGTAGCATCACCAGCAGTGGGCATCACCCATGCCACCGCCAGCCCACTGCTGGTGTGAGTGAGGTGAGTGCCGACTGCAGGGCCCTCTGCCAGGTGCTGGGTGTCCGGTCTCCTTGGTGGCCCTGAGAGGTGGGGATCGCAGCCTTCCATGCTGAACACAGCAGAAGGCTGGCCTTTAAGAGAAGGTCCTTTCCTTCTGCTCAGGAGTCATTCAGAGAACAAGTCAGGGCGAGACACCCCCTACTTCTCTCATACCTTGACCTTCCGGCAAGCTCTGTGGTCTCTTGATGAAGAGGGCAGGTTCCTCAGCCTAGACAAGGGGCTGAGCCAGGGGTCATCACAGAGTCCCTGGAAATACTGCATGTTGGCTTCAAAATTTGTGTGTGTGTGTGTGTGTGTGTGTATGTGTGTGTTAAGATGGATGAACCTTCTGATTGCATGTTGCCACGTGCTTTCTGAAGCCCTCTTTCATTTCTTCCTCACCAGGGCCGCCAGGGCTTGACAGTCAGGTCCTGACGTTGTCTTTGATCTGATTGACTCGTATGTGTGATGCATTGCTGTAGGTTACCGTGCTTTCCACCTGTGGTTTTCCTGACGCACTGCAGTCACACGGCATGGTGTAAGGTGCACATTGATACGCCTTCACCAGGGCGCCTTTCCTCGCTTTGCTGTGCTGCCTGACTTGCCAGATTTGCTTCTGATCTTGGTCTTTTTTTTTCTTTCTTTAAGGATGCATTTCCATTTAGAATAATCTAAAGAGAAAAACATTTTACTTTTGAAATTAAAAAAAAGCTAAACTTTTGACTTTGCCATGTGGATATAATTTTTAAGATATCTTAAAAGCTTCCTGACCAAACTCACATTGTTTGGAGTCAGTGGAATTTGGACATGTCATGAAAGAATGTTCTCTGTCTATAGTGGTTTACTTTCAAGGTTCATCAGAGAATAATAAGTGCTGCTTTAATTTTCTGAAGCGCTGGCATTACTGAATTCTTCTAACCTTGATTTCCTGTTTATGTTTTTTCTCCTCTTCCAGTACAAAAGCTGTGAGTCGCTTCCACTCTCCTTTTATTGTCGAAAATTACCGATGTCTGAATCAGCTCCGAGAGCAGCTTGCCCTGGACTGCAATGCCGAGTGGCTTGGTTTTCTAGAGTGAGTTTACAATGAAAAATAGAATCTGACTTTTGCTCTGAGAAATAGACCGGAAAATCTTTCCATCAAAAAGAGAAGTAGAGATTACTGCTTGTGACCCACTGTGAAAGAGTTGAGTACTTACACGCACTCCGGTTTTGTTTTTAATCCACTGAAATGTAAGCTCATCGTAGCCTTTGGTGAGAAACCTTGCATGTTTTATTGTTGCTGAACTAGCATTTTGTTACTGATGGTGTTTAGTGGAGTCACCTTTGGAAATTCTACTTTAGAATTACTTTTTTCATATAAAGCCCTACTATTTCTTTGAGAGTTGGACAAAATGGGTTAGTTCTTTTGTTTCTGTCATCTCTATATAATTTTTCTTCTTTTTTTTCTTTTAAGCATTCTGTGTTATTCCCATCCAACTTTTTAGTTTGAAAGTATTAAACATCTCTGGGAAAGTTAAAGAGATCGCTGTGTACCCACACTTCAGTTGGGCAGTGTCTGCTGTATTTGTTTTGCATCTCTCCTATAATAATTTTTCCTGAACCATTTTGAAATGAGGTTTAGATACCATAACGTTTCACTGTATATACTTAACTATACACCTTCTGAAAACAAGAATTCTCTGTTACATAATTTTTAAAAAAGATTTATTTATTTTTATTGGAAAGGCAGATTATTTTGCAGAGAGGAGAGAGAGAGAGAAAGATCTTCCATCTGCTGGTTCACTCCCCAAGTGGCTGCAGTGACCAGAACTGAGCTGAGCTGAAGTCAGGATCCAGGAACTTCTTCCAGGTCTCCCACATGGGTGCATGGTCCCAAGGCTTTGGGCCGTCCTCCACTTCGCAGGGAGCTGAATGGGAAGTGGGGCAGCCAGAACATAAACCAGTGCTCATAGGGAATCTTTGTGCTTGAGTGGCCAGGATGTAGCCACTGGGCCATCACATTGGACCCTATTGTATAATCTTAGTGCCATTATCACACCACAGAAAGTATTAATTAAAAAGTGTATTTTGGGCCCGGCGCGGTGGTGCAGTGGTTAAGGTCCTCGCCTTGCACGCCCGGGATCCCATATGGGCACCGGTTCTAATCCCGGCAGCCCCACTTCCCTTCCAGCTCCCCGCCTGTGGCCTGGGAAAGCAGTCGAGGACGGCCCAAAGCTTTGGGACCCTGCACCCACATGGCCCGGAAAAGCAGTTGAGGACGGCCCAAAGCTTTGGGGCCCTGCACCCGCGTGGGAGACCCGGAAGAGGCTCCTGGCTTAGGATCAGCATGGCATCGGCCGTTGCGCTCACTTGGGGAGTGAATCATCGGACAGAAGATCTTCCTCTCTGTCTCTCCTCTCTGTATATCTGCCTTTCCAATAAAAAAATAATAAAAATAAATCTTTAAAAAAAAATGTATTTCAGGGCCTATATGGGCACCAGTTCGTGTCCCAGCAGCTTCACTTCCCATCCAGCTCCCTGCTTGTGGCCTGGGAAAGCAGTTGAGCATGGCCCAAAGCCTTGGGACCCTGAACCCGCGTGGGAGACCCGAAAGAGGTTCCTGGATCCTGGCTTCGGATCAGGCATAGCATTGGCCGTTGTGCTCACTTGGGGAGTGGATCATCGGACAGAAGATCTTCCTCTCTGTCTCTTCTCCTCTCTGTACATCTGACTTTCCAATAAATAAATCTTAAAAAAAATTTAATGCTTACTTGCATTTTTCATCAGATAACTGAAGGAAATGCTTTTTTCCCCTTTGCTTGTGTTGTACAAGTCTCTATCGCAGCGTTGGTTCTGTGTCAGCATTAAGCACTGGCGGTTGGGACTGCAGTGGTAGGAAGTCAGGCATGGGCACTGTGCACTGGAGGGAAGGGAGTTGAAACTGTTACTGCACATTCGCCTTAGCAGGTGCTGTAAGGAGAAGGCCAAGGGGAAGCCACCCGTCTGACTGGTTCATGATGTGAGAATCTGTTTTAGATTTATGTAATTCTGTCCTGAACAAAACCAGAATGTCGCTGTTGGATTAGAAGGAGAATCAGTCAGTGTGGTTCGCATCTCTCTGGTTCTCCTGTCTTGGTGTCTGAGTATCAGCTGCAAGAGTGGCGGCCCTGTCTAGTCTGCTCACCCTTTTTTTTGTTGCTACCCTGTCTGTAGGACGTTCAGTGGACACCATCATGCCCTGTGTAAGGCAGTGCGTCACCTAGCAACGATGGACTGCATCTTCTCCCTGACCAAGGTCGCTAAGCAAGGAAATTACTGCAGGTAATATGTGTTTTGTTTATCCCCTTTCTCATGCTCTTCATGAGATGACATTATTCAGTCATCTTAATGTCTTTATTATAAAAATGTTATCAGCTACTCAGATGTGTTAGAGTCTTGATATAGCTGAATGTCATACAGCATGGCTTGACTGGACAATGAACAGGGTTCCTATGTTGCTTGCAGTCCTGCTGGGTGCAGTGAAAGCAGGTGTCAGTGTAACTAATGGTTACATAGGTATAACTTTAGGTTATATACTTTAGTTTCTTAAGTTTACATAGGCAACCTTTTAAGACCCTTTTGAGTGTTCTTGATTTTTATACTTTATCACTGAAAAAGACCAAAGATGTGTAAAGGTATAATTAATAGGTACAAACTAAACTATGAGAAACAGAAAGTTTGATAGTTGCAGCTCGACGTAAGGGTTTGAAAAAAGCAAGTCAGCTGTCAGAGGCTGCAGCTGAGAAGGTGGATTAGTGTAGCTGTTCTCATTATTAAAATAAAAATATGCATATTCTGTGTTCTAGAAATTCCACTTCAGGCATTCACTACAGCTTAGAGGAAGGCTTGGGCATGTGGAGACAAAGGATAGGGCTGTTCATTGCAGGGCTGCTTATTACAGCGAAAAGGTAGAGTCCGAACGTTCCACCTCTGCATGACCACTTCCACAGGATGCTGGAAACTTGGTGAGAATTGCCTTCATTGTCCAGGTGCCATATTGCAGAGGTTGGTCTGGCGGACCGAATTTCATCTGCTTGGAGGTCTTCCATAGGACAAAGCAAAAATTTACTTTTTTTTTTGCAAATGGAGAATAAGATTTAGAATTATCATTTTGGTGCACCTGACCCTTTATTTATATATATGATGCGTTTTGGAATCTTCAGTGATCTTTCCTTTATCCTGAAACATTTTTGTATTTTATCTTCCTTGGAATCATTTCAGCATTGGTTATCGTTTATTCCCACTATATCATAAGAGTCTGAAGTAAAAGGAAAAGTGGAGGGTGATGATGTCAAAGTGAAAGAGAAGCAGAGTGGCTGTCATGTCTTCCTTCTGCTTCCCTGTGGTGCCGCCCGCAGCGTTGCCTGCTCTTTGCCCAGATGCCATCGTGGGAGTCATCTTCTGACTCTCATGGAATGTGGATGAGATGCCAGAATCTTTGATTTGTCACCCATGACAGCAATAAGAAGAAACAGTGGACGGCAGACATGTCACTGTTGCAAGTTGGAGAGAAGCTGAGTGTGAGGAGGAGGTTCTGATCCCTAGGGATGACGGTGGAGTTTCCTTGGAAGTTCAGTTGACACTGAATGCTCCAGGACAGCATCCTGCAGGACCGGCCTCGGCCGTAAGCACTGAGGGTGAATAGCACATTCTGATGATTTGTTCCCGTGCGCTGGCTGTTCCTCGGGAAGCTCCACCGTGTTCTGCTGGGAGATGTGTGGTGACCGCTGCTCTCTGTTTGCTCACTCATGCTGACTCGATAGGTTCAGTAGGTGGAGAGCCAGCTGGTGTTTGGTCATAGATGATGTAGAAATGAAAGCATTCTTGCAATTGCTTTTTCTAATCAGTGTTTCTGAATGTACAGATGAAAATGTTTTTCAGTTAAAGAACAAAATTGGCTGCCTTAGGAGAAATTATGAACTTCAAAAGATTTCAAAAACCTTTTCAGTCATGTGTTTGTTAGTGCAAGTGTTAGAACACAAATTGTGAGCTGGAATATATGAACTTTGAACTCTAGGCTCTGCTGGCATGCCTGCATGGCATCGGATGAGCAGTTCTATGCAGTGTGTGCTGCCCATTCCCAGTGTGCCTGTCTTGAAAAACCAAAATCTAGGATAAGAATCGGAGATTTCTTTAACTTTTTGTTGCAAGACTGACATTTGTTATCCCTTCCTTCCCACTTCTGTAGAACTATTAATAAGTTGAAAAAGTTCACTGGACTCTGATGAAATCTATTCTTTCATATACTGAGGGTTAAAATAAACTATTGAGTTAAAATAGAAACGGTTAAGGAATGGAATATAATTGTATGGTTCCATTGTTTTAAAAAGACGTCATGGGACAAAATAACACACACAAAGACAAAAAAAAAAAGTCATGGCAGTATGGTATGCTTTTAAACAAAAAAATATCTGTGTCCTCCTTGGCAGCAAATGAAGACTGAAAGAGGACGTGGCTAAGGGGGAGTCCTTGGTGCAGCTGCCATGAGTCTGCTGCTGTTTGCGTACCTGGGCGCTCTTACTGTAGCACTGCTTTTCCGGGTTCTCGTTTGGCAGTTCAAATGGAACCTTTACACTCAGAGCCCCTTCCACACATGCCAGTGTGTTCTGAACATCTGTATTTAGGGTTTTGTTATCGGTTTAGAGATTTGTTTAGAAAGTCTGTTACAGCGTCTCATGAATTAAAATGTACTTTGTTTTGCAGACCGACTGTACAAGAAGAAAGGAAAATCATAATAAAAAATGGAAGGCATCCTGTGATTGATGTATTGCTTGGAGAGCAGGATCAATATGTTCCCAATAGTACAAATTTATCAGTAAGTACCTTTATATGCCAAGAAATAAGCAAGAGGTGATAACATGGAACCCACATGTCTAAGCAGCAAATGGTTTCATAAGAAAACAGACCCATATCTTAACTTTTGCTTTAAATGGACTGTTCTGCATAGTTTTATGTTCACAACCAAATATGGGATTAGTGTTTTTTGCCAATGAAAGATTATACATGGAGAGGATGTAGCAACTGAAAGCCTGGTCTTAATTATGTACTCTAGGAAGCCTAATCAAAACATATTGTCTTCATCACTACCCGAATATGCTAACCATGTTAGAATCAAATCATGCCTTTCCTGTTAGCATATGGCATCACATGCTTTGTCTACAGAAGTGGTTTTGAAATGTTCTGTGAACAAATCTGTTATTTCAGATAATTTCTGTGGTGAGAATTTTCATAATTGCGGCTTGTAGGCTATTTGTGATCCTGAATACTTACAAGTGCTTGTGGCCCAGCTAGTGAAGCAAGTGCTAGGGACAGGGCAGGCCAGGACTGTCCTGTGTTCTCACAGAGCTTGGGATTGTGTGGAGAAAGGCAGATACCACTCAGCTGGGTTTGTGCTGTGATGTGGAGGGCAGCCTCGGGTCAGGTAGAGAGCTTTGGGGGAGATTTCTGAGGGATGCGGTATGCACGGACAGATGAGTCAGCGTAAACCAGGGAAGTGGCACAGGGTGTGCCGGGACCTCGGGAGGTGAGACCGAGAGACAGAAGCTGGTGAGTGGGGTGGAGCACAGGGTGAGGAGGAAGAAGTGTTCAGAGACTAAGATGGGATGGATTCACTTAGCTGCCATGTTAGGAGCGTTATGCTTTTTAACCCTTGAAAGATTGACAGTACTAGCAAGGGAATGGTTGAATCTGGGGAAAAAGTGAACTTGTGGCAGGTGTACATGTTACATGAAGTTACTGCAGTGATAAGGGTGTGTTGTCTGAGGTGATTCTGTGCTAGATTGTGCTAAGCAGGAGTCCAGTGTGAGTGGAACTTGCCTTTGAGTTGGGAAGTGGTGACTGGGCATTTGATTTGATTTTGTATTTTTATTCAAGAGGCAGTGAGTGAAGTCTTGTTTGCTATTTTCAGTTCGTAGATGCCTCCAGGGCTGGGTCAAAGCTGGGAGTTTAACTCATGCCTCCCGCGTGGGTGGTGGGAGCCAGCTACCTCCCAAGGTTGACATTAGCCTGCAGCTGAGATCCAGAGTGGAGCTGCGGCGTGAAGCTGAGCACTCTGACATGGCACGTGGGCATGGCAACGTACGTCTTAAAACCAACAGGCTGCCCCGACTGGAAAGGTGCTGGGGGCAGGGGTGGAGTTGTGGTGCATGGTGAGCCTCTGCCTTAGATGCCACCAGCCCATCCGGGTGCGGCTTCACACCCTGGCTGCCCCTGTTCCGATCCTGCCCCATGCTGGTGGCCTGAGGATGCAGGGAAGGATAGCGGGAGTGCTTGGACCCCTCACCCACGTAGGAGACCTGAAACAAGCCCCTGGTTCCCGGCTTTTCCCCAGACAAACCATTACAGATGTGATGTTTGCAAAGTGAACCAGCAGTTGAAACAGTTCTCTTTCTCTAACTATGTCATTCCCTTAATGAAGCAATAAATCTTAAGGAAAATAAAACAAAACCAAAAAAGACTTCTTGGTGACTGGGAGTTTCAAAGGGAGAATGAAAGATTAGAGAGGAAAGGACCTCCGGGTGGAGAAGCTGGGTTTGTTACATTGAAACCACCAGGGTTTACTAACTTAGAGTGATGGGAGATGTGCCTGGCAAAGGGGCAGAGAGAGAAAGGATTTCTAATTGCCAGCTCTGAAGTCATGGCTCTCCTAAGAGCCTCGCAGGACTACCTGCCTATCAGCAAGGCTTGGCTGGAAGAAAAAGTAAGTTGCCTGGCAACACTAACACGTGTTCAGGCAGACACATATGGGCCAGGGTCAAGCTAACGATTCAGGCTTGACTGAGAAACCTGCTAGCATTTGTGGTTATTAGTAGGGCATGTGACAAAACTGTTAGTACTCAGAGGCTGTGGAGTCCTTCCGGGCCAATGTTAGATCCCAGAGAAGCAGCTGGAGTGGGGGGGGGGGAGTCTGTCAACACAGAGAATTGGCTGGCATGGGTTCTGGGCTGAGTGCATAGGGAACGATGAAGTTAGTGTTTCCAGGGTGAGATCCCTGGCCTCAGAGCTGGCGTTCTGCTGGGTGTTGACAGGACCCCAGGTGTGGCCAAGGAAGGTGGGTAGCGGAGGACAGAAGGTGTTTGGAAGGTGCGAATCAGCATTGTAAATGTCGGATCATCTCATGGGATAGCAGGATTTGTCATGGAAGATGACAGTGACGTAGGGTCGGAAGTCTCCAGGAATGGGGCTGTGAAAGTCTGGAGGTGTCTGCAGGGAGGCTGAGCAGGGCAAGGCCTGAAAGAAACTGGGCAGAGTGGCGTGAGAAGTGAGGGAGAGCTCAGCTCCCTAACTGTAGGGCTGCAAGCGCCAAGGCCAGAGCCAGGTTTCCGCTTCAGCCACTGTGCCTGGAGAGGGTTAAGCAGCAAGGTTATACATAAAGCAACAGTTTTTGAAACATTTTCTGCTAGCAGGAAGAGACCTGAGCACTGAGCAGTAGTGCAGAGGCACAGAGCTGTGACTGTGTGGTAAGTTTGCCTGCAGGAGGGGTGAGGGGGAAAAGCAACACTCTGAATTTACAGTTATGCTGTCAGATCATATAGAACACTTCACAGTATTTGAGAAAAATGGAATTAGAAAATACATTTATTTTGGTGCAGGAAATTTTAGAAATCCATGTAGGAGATTCAGTGGAAAATGTGAATCATGAAAAAAACTGTGTTTGTATTTTACATACTTTCTCAGTGAAAAAATGTTTTGTAATTCTGTTTTTCCTTAAGTACCCTTGTGTAACCTGTTTCTTAGCCGGTCTAGGCTGCTACAACAATACCAGAGACTGGATAGCTTAGAAACCAGCAGAAATCTGGCTCCCATCGTCTGGAAGCCCCAGACTCAGCTGCTGACCAGAGGCACCCACCGTGCCCTCATGAGGCGCCTGAAGCTCTGGGGGTGCTCTCCTGGGCTTTCCGATCACCCCACCGTCCAGCCCTGTCACCCCGAGGAGTGGGATTTTAACATGCACGCTTGGGGGATACAAGCAGTCCACCCATAGCCGCCCGAGGCCCGTGTCTGTAAACTGGTCCATTCTTTTCAGGATGCTTGTTACTTCACTTTCAGTTAAGAATGTGGAAATTTCCCTTTTAGGTTGTGTACGATTAGTAGGGAAGAGCTCTTCTCACATAAGCTAATGTACTACTAAGTTTTAATAACTTCACGATTGATTTGTAAACCACTGACACATCCTTTTCCGTTACTGTTCTCATGCCTACCAGCTTGATCCTATATATGTCGTCCTGGCAGTGACATTTTTTCCTTTTCTTCTTCATTTGACTTTCCCTCTTCCCCCCCTTTGTTTATTTTTTAAACTTTTTCATTGTTGTTGTTATTTGAAAGGCAGAGTTAAAGAGAAAGTAGAGACAGACAGATCTTCCATTCACTGGTTCTTCCTCCAGTTCCCCCAAACCAACCCCACCTCTGGCCTGAAATGACCCCAGCAGCTGTAGCTGGGCCAGTCTGAAGCCAGGAGCTTCTTCTGTGTCTCCCACATGGGGAGTTGGACCATGCTCTGCTGCTTTCCCAGCCGCAGTGACACGGGGCTGGCTCAGAAGTGGAGCAGTCAGACTGGCACCTGTTTCAGATAGCAGTGTTGCAGGCAGTGGCTTTACCCACTCTGCCACATCACCGGCTCCTTCCCTCTCTGTTTTAAGAAAGTGAGTTATACTGTTTAGTAAAGCAAGGCTTGAGAAATTAAAAATAACATTCTGTCTAATTACAAGGGTAATTTTAAGAAACATTGAGCTCTTAAATTTGAATTTTCACACAATAAATAAATGGCATAGTGTTTTTCTAGCAGGCGCCTCAGAATATTCTAGAATATTCATTTCTTTTACATTTGCTTTTTCTAACTTGAGTAGGAGTGGATGTAGAACTGTTGCTATGGTGAATTGCACTCTATTATCGGGATGTAAATTTATATATAGGGATGGTATTGAGAAAGCTCTTACTATGTAAAATTCAATTTAAAGGGAAATATGGTTATATTATAAAATATATGCAGAAAATAATATCCTCAAAATTAAACAGCCTTGTGTTTGATAATCATGGAGTTTTCAAAAATGATTCTTTCATTGCTTCTTGGCTTTTGGCTAAGATTAAGTGTAGGAATGATTCTTTCATATTTATAAACTGTATGAACTGAGTTATCTGGATTCGGTGTGTTGGAAAACCCTTACATTCCTTCTGAACAAGCCTGCTTTCTGCCCACTTCTCCCCTCCCAGTTTTAAGAATGCTCTTTATACCTCCTCTTCAGGTCACCCTGTGCTGCTTTCCCCGGCCACAAGCAGGGAGCTGGATGAGAAGTGAAGCAGCCAGGACACAGACTGTTCCCCATGCAGGGTCCTTGCACTTACAAAGGCAGGATTAGCCAGCGGAGGCTAATTGAGGATTAGTGCAGGTCCCAACTCTTGGCCACTCTCCAGTTGCTCCCACTCTCCAGTTGCTCCCGCAGACTGACCACCTGAGCTGTGCCCTGCCCAGCCCCTTCGCCTGCAGACACCTGTGAGCACCTTACCAGCTCTCCATGCAGCCCGTGCCTCAGTTCTCACCATCTTGGCCTTCTTAGGAGCTGTAGTGCCTCCTGGGCCAGTGGAGCTCCCTTGGCCCAGGTGTGCTCTTTCCCATGCACCTCTGAGCCTCACACCCATCACCGCTGCCCCAGCCCCAGCTGTGTGTGACTCGGGCCTGTTCTTTCTGTCTCATCTTGGACACACAGCTGGGATAGCTCCACGCAACCCCCGCCATGCCTGCGTCTTCCCCCTTATAAGGAACTTCCTGATCACTAACTCACTGTAAAACTTAGTTCTTTGTGCTCCTTCATAGGGACTGGTAAAATGCCACTGAAAACTTGAAAGCTGATAAAAGCGCTGATATCTAGAATTTGGTGTTATAGTGGTCATCCACCTGTAATTCAAGAAGTGTGTGTCACTAACCCACTATAGAACCTTGAACATCAGATGTACAACACTACAGGTTGGGCCTGCACAGTTGCCTAGTGACTGGGTCCTTGCCTGTGGGCACCGGGATCCCATGTAGATTCCGGTTTATGTCTGCCCCACTTCTCATTCAGCTGCCTGCCTGTGGAGGACAGTGGAGGTTGGCCTAAGGCCATGGGGCCTTGTACCCATGTGGGAGACCCAGAAGAAGCTCCTGGCTCCTGGCTTTGGATCAGCTCGGCTCCAGCCATTGTGGCCACTTGATGAGTGGACCAACAGATGGAGCTTCCTCTCTGTCTCTTTTTTCTCTGTAAACCTGTCTTTCCAATGAAAAATTTTTTAAAATATATTTAACAAAACACATATTAGGATAAGTCAAATTTAAATATAAACAATATGAGAAACATTTACACGCAGATTGAAGAATGTGCAGTGAGAAAATTATAATAGTGATATAGTTTAGATCACTTCTCAGTTTTTTCCTAAGATTTGTTCATTTACTTATGTTGGAAAAGTCATATTTTCAGAGAGAAGGAGAGACAAAGAGAAAGACCGTCTATTCGCTGTTTCACTCCCCAGGTGGCTGCAATGGCCGGAGCTGAGCCAGTCTGAAGCCAGGAGCCAGAAGGTTCTTCCAGGTCTCCCATGCAGGTGCAGGGTCCCAAGGCTTTGGGCCATCCTCTGCTTTCCCAGGTCACAAGTAGGGAGCTGGATGGGAAGCAGGGCCACAGGAACACAAACCGGCGCGTATATGGGACCCCGGCGCTTGCAAGGTGAGGACGGTACTGTGCTGGGCCCATTTCTTCAGGTTTTTGTGTTTTTTTTTAAAGAGTTATTTATTTTATTGGAAAGGCAGATTTAGATAGAGAAGAGAGAAAGAAAAATTTTCCATCTGCTGGTTAACTCCCCAAGTGACTGCAAGTGCCAGAGCTAAGCCAAAGCCAGGAACCAGGAGCTTTTCTAGGTTTCTTGCATGGTGCAGAGTCCCAAGGCTTGGGCCATCCTCCAGTGCTATCCCAGGCTGTAGGTGAGGAGTTGGATGGTAAGCAACTGGGACATAAAGTGGTGCCCATATGGTGGAGGATTAGCCAGTTGAGCCATTGCACCAGCTCCTCGTTTTCTTTTTTATGCCAAGTTGCATCTGTCCTTCCTACTCTGAATTTGTTTTCTACAGGGCCACTGTTTCCAAATGAATAGGAGTTAGAAAAAGAGCCATTTGGGTGAACAGCCTGCAGTGGCAGACAGCCTCAGCCTGTGGTACGAGTGCCTTATATTGGTACCAGTTCAAGTCCCACGAGCTTCTCTTGCAGTCCAGCTCCCTGTGATGGCCTGGAAGGCATTGGAAGGAGGTTCAGGTGCTTAGGCCCCTGCACCCATGTGAGAGACCCAAAAGAAGCTTCTGGCTCCTGGCTTCAGATCTATGCAATTCCAGCCATGTGGTTATTTGGAAAGTGAACCAGTGGATAGAAGAGCTGTTTCTCCATCTCTCTCTGTTACTCTGCCTTTCAAATAAAAATAAATAAATGTTAAAAAAAAAAAAAAAAGAGCAAGGGCGGCCCTTCCCCATCTCTGACTTTTGTCTCCTCCTTTGCTGTGTCCCTCCCGCTATGACGCCATTCTCCCTGAGGCCCTTCCAGAAGCCAGTGGAAAACGTTGCCAAGCTCTTGGGCCTCAAGAACTGTGAGCCCAAGAAGCCTCTTTTCTTTGCACATTACCTAGCCTTAGGTGTCCCATTACAGCTTTAGGAAACAGACTCATATTGTGGCCTGTTTTAAGTAGACACAAAGCAGTGGTTGGTCCAACACACTCCCATCCGTGGGAGCCCTTGTGCATGTTTCACAGCCCTTGGGGTGCATCACTGATTTCTGTTTCGTTTTCTAGGGGGACTCCGAGAGAGTCATGATCATCACTGGTCCAAACATGGGTGGGAAGAGCTCCTACATCAAGCAGGTCGCACTGATCACCATCATGGCTCAGATGGGCTCCTATGTCCCTGCAGAGGAGGCCACGGTGGGGCTTGTGGACGGCATTTTCACAAGGTAAAAGCAGCAGTTCCTTTGGTAACAAGTCAAGCCGACAATATCCAATGAATAGATGAATAGATTTGCTGTTAAAATGTGAAGCTTAAAGGAGTCATTTCATCCTGAGTATTAATTCTAGAGGAGACTTAGGTGATCCTTTTTTCCAGCAGTTTCCAAATTATTTTGGTTAATGAGTTTTTACTTTAAATGGAATCCTATGTAGAAAATGCAAATTTGAACAGCTAAAAGCACATCTGCTCTGCCTTGCAGGGGTGGAAGGCTTGAAATGCTGGCTAATGGGCGGGCCTTCATGCCAGCTGGAAATGCTCTGTGTACTTGCCTGTCGGTTCTGGCACCTGCGCCAGAGTACCAGTCCTGTCAGTTTCCCGTGTGAGATTCCTCTCATTGCCCAGATCCTCCTTCTCTAGGCCTTCCTTGATGCGCTCATCTCTGTACTTCCCATATTTGGTTGTTCTTTCTCTTTCGGCTCCCACCGTTTTGAGTGTTAGAGTTATTTTTGTGTGTGTTCGATCCTGTTGTGCATCTGGAGGAAGTGTGCATTGTTTTTCACAATTCTCTTCTTCGTCTTTAACCTAGAACTTCGCTTTCTACCTGTAAGACAGACACTCAAGAGCAGGGCTGTTGAATGAATTGACCCTGGAGTCAAGATTTAACAAGTGGGAACATCCTGTAGCAGGTGCAGCGCTTGATTGGTGAGGAGGAGGTGATGGGATTAGAGCTGCCACTTCTTTGGGTGTTGGGAAGGCCTGGTAGTGCTGTGAAGCTGTGCTGATGCAGCCGGATGGCGAAGGGCCAGAGAGGGAGCAGAGGCAGGGAGGGAGTGAGAGAACATTTAGTTAGTTTCTCATTCATTTGCTTCTGGCTTTCATTTTTGTCATAGAAACTTGACTGGATGCAAATCTAGCATGGAAGGCAACGATTATTGCACAGCACTTATTTCCTTTGTGCAACTTTTGTCGGACATTGATGCTTGGACCTTTGTGAATCCTGGTCGGTCTGGGATGGGGTCCGGGCAGTCACTCCAGGTATCCCATATGATTGTAAAACTCATTGAGAAGCACTTTCTGCAGCCCTTGCAGGCCCAGTCTTCCCCCATCTTCTTGTCAGCACTGTATAGACCACATTAAATTATATTGCTGGAGTCTTCGCTAGGACATAGCTTAGTGGTATGCCTACATATTGTCAGTGTGTTTACTGAAAAGTGACTCATTCATTCAGCAGTCTCCCTCATGCCCACCACTCTACTAAAGCAGGAAAGTGACCAGTGCACTTGGTCCTCCCTCCACCCCACCCAGACCAGCAGCTTGGCCTTGGCCTCATTGTTCCTTGTGAGCGCTTTTCTACATAGCCAGGATTTTTTTTTACAACAGTGCACAGAACTATTTGATATGTTTTGAAGCTGTGTATGCACTGTCCCATACGTCTATTTTTGTGCAAGTGACTTTGCCCCTCACTGTTAAGTTTATGGAATTTTTCCATCTAGGTACATTTATTTCCAGTTCTTTAATTTTTTTTCTTGACTAGGATGTTCCACTGTAAGCATCTAGTGCAGTTCATTCATTTCCTTTGCCTGATGTTTAGCATGACCACAGTTCTGGTCATTTGATTCCCATGCTTGTTCTAGTGTTCTTGTGTAAGATTTGCTGCATCTCAGAGAGGAATTGCTGGGTGGCAAGATCCATGCCCCTTCCAGGATCTCCAAGGAGGCCATACCCACTTGGAATCGCACCCTCCGTGTGCCTAGTGTGAAATGGGGCAAACAACCCCTGCACTGCCGGCCTGTGCCCCCTAGAGCTGCTCAAGACATGCCATCGTTCCTGTTACACGAAGTGCCATCTGCTAAATGATTTAATGTTAGACTGTGTTTTCCTCCACGTCATACTGTGCTTGTTTACAAAAACAAACAAACAAAGTAAGTTTGTTTCTTGGCCTTCCCTGACAAATTGCCCAGTTCCAGTTATCGTCCAGTTGCTGCTTGCTCTTTAATTCATTTTTGTCTTGGCTGCCATGGCTCAGGTGAGGCAACAAATTTAGTTTGTCTTCTCACAGTATTTCTTTCTTTCTTTTTTAAAAAAGATTTTTTAAAATTTATTAGTAAAAAATAAATATATTTGAAATAGATAAAAAAATATATATATTTGAAAGGCAAAGATAGAGAAAGAAGCACACACAGAGCTCTTACATTGGCCTGTCCACAGGATCAGAACTAGAGTAGCCAGGATCCGAACTTGGTGCCCACATGGAATGACGGTGCCGCAGGCAGAGGCTTAGCATCGTGTGCCACACGCTGTCCCTGCCCTTCCTCACAGTATTTCTTTAGCATGTTCTTAGAATGATGCTTGTTAAAAATGCTACTTTTGAAATCATATCTCACATCTTTTTATTTTTTTTAAGATTTATTTATTTTTATTGGAAAGGCACATTTACAGATTGAAGGCGAGACAGAAAGATCTTACATGTGCGGGCTCACTTCCAAATGACTGCAGTGGCAGGAGCTGATCCAATCTGAAACCAGGAGCCCGGAGCTTCTTTCAGGATTCCTGCAAGGGTGCAGGGCCCCATGGCTTTGGGCCCTCCTCTACTGCTTTCCCAGACCAGAAGCAAGGAACTAAATGGGAAGTGGAGCAGCTGGGACATGAACCAATGCCATCATGGGAAGCTGTTCTTGCAAGTGGAGGATTTAGCCATTGCACCAGCCCCAATTTTTAAAAGATCTGACATTTCTTTAAAATTGGGATTTCTAGTGTGGTAGCCAAGAATTGGCATTTTAAAAGTTTGTGCTGAATTTTGTTTCAAATTTGAGCATCTACTGAACAACTTATAACCTAGGTTTCACATTCATTATAATTCTGCTATCAGAAACATATTTTTATTTTAAATCACTTCAAATGCTTTTTGTACTTAAAGAAAAAATATTGCGATCCAGCAGAATGAGCTGTTTACATAATATTTGACTCGAACATTGCCTTTAAATTACGTATTTTGGTATTCCCAGATGAACATTTAGAATACCATGCTGAAGTTTGTGTATTCCTTAAATACTTCCTGAATGCCTACTGGGTGCTGTGCATTGTTCCCTGAGAAAAATGATTAAGTAGATGCAAAGCTATGGCTCTGCAGGAAGGCAGGAACCTTTCTTCTGAGTGTCACAAGCTCACAGGAACCTTCTCCTGAGGAAGAAACCAATTTCAAATATGTTTACATTTGAGAGGCAACCACCTGCTTACTCGCTCAGCAGATGTCCACAGTGGCCAGGACTGGGCCAGACCGCAGCCAGGAGCTGGGAACTCAGTCCGAGTGGCCTGTGTAACAAGAATCCAAGTAGCTGCACCATCACTGCTGCCACTCACTGTCTGCATCAGAGGGCGCCGGGGTCAGGAGCCACTCTCCATCTGCATCAGAGGGCGCCGGGGTCAGGAGCCACTCTCCATCCGCATTAGAGGGTGCTGGGGTCAGGAGCCACTCTCCATCCGCATTAGAGGGCGCTGGGGTCAGGAGCCAGAGTCAGGCCTGGAACCCAAGGCATACCAATGTGTAATGTGAAAGTTTTATTTTGGTTTATTTATTTGTTTATTTGAACGACAGAATTAGAGAGGAGGGGAGGGTAGACAGAGACACCTATCTTCCATCTGTTAGTTTATTCCCCAAGTAGCTACAATGGCCAGGGCTGAACCAGGCTGAATCCAGAAGCCTGAAGCTTCCTTTGGGATCTCCTCCATGGTTGTAGGGGCCCAAGATGTTTAGGGCATCGTATTTAGCTTTCCCAGGCCCATTAGCAGAGAGCTGAATCAGAAGTGGAAAATCTGGGACTTGAACTGGCACCATATGGGATACTGGCATCACGAGTGATGCCATAACCCACTATGCCATGATGACTGCTTCCATGTTTTAACCACTGGACTAAATGCCTACCCTAAGCTTTTTTTCTTTTTTAAGTAATCTTACTTAGTTGATTAGGGTACAAAGGTTCAAGGGCTACAGGAAAGTGGGTAATACCGTTATTTCTACACTAATATCATTTTTTCCTTGTATCTGGGGTCAGAAGAGAAACAAAGGGAAAAGCCCCACCCAACCTCCCACCCATCCCAGGTTCCCAATGTGAGGCGTGCTCTGAGGATCCTGCTCAAGCAGTTTGATAGTTCAGCAGTTCTAAATTGCTGCCAATCTCACTGTTCCAATTGAGATGAAACCTATTCAGAATCCACCGGCTGACATAGTCTCTTCATGGTTGGGGTTCTGAGGTCAGCGGTTCACTTGAAGGGATCTCCAAAGAAACTTCATCTGAGATTATCCCTTATCTGATTCTTGTGTGAATTTGCCAGTACAAGGTCTGGCACAGTCTGTCACCCCAATCAGCTTATGCATATGCTGGTCGTTGCAATTGCTGGGTCAGTTGTTTTCAGCCCTGTCTTCCATTTGAACCAATGGGTGTTGTAGTCCAGCTCAGTCCTACCCACTTCACACTCGATCCTCGCACAAACCAGTGGGAGCTGCAGCCTAGTTGGGGCGACTCCCCATAACTCCCACCAGACCTGCTCCCTACCCTGGTTCCCATGCATGTCAGTATGTCCCGCAGGCTTGTTGTCTGTCCCACATCCCATGTAGCTCTGGTACTTGTCAGTGGGCATTGAAGCCTAGTTCAACCCAATCAACCTAGTATCCAGCCCACACACATATTGGCGGGTGCCTTTCTGTCTAGCCACCTCTGCCCCTGTCCTGGTTTTCGTGCTCTCCAGTGGGAGTGGTTACCCACAAGGGAGGTGCCCACTGTCTTCCTACTAGGCCACTCCAACTTCTGGATTGTGCACTCTCCAGGTGGTGCAGGCATTTAGCTTAACATAATTAGCCCCAAGTGCCAGCCTCTGCCATCTGATGATGTGGCAAACCCCAACCAACCCTTACCCACTCTAAGTTTTGATTGTACCAGTTGGAACAGTCGGCCCAATCTGGCCCCCTTCTCCAATCCAGCTCACATGAGGCCCATAGGTGTTGCAGCC